CTTTTTATTTCATTGTTTCAGTTTTCTAAGTGATATTGAGGATGTTAACAATGGAGGCAGTTGAATTACCGATTTTAGGATATGATTTAGCTTTTTAGTTAAATTTTATGCGGGGGGAATTGCTTGGTTTGCTAACAATTTTTTTGGACTCAAATAGTAATATAGCTATATTAGTTTCTAAAGGTCATCTTAAATGCAGATCGTATAAATTCGTACATCTTGAATCTATTTCTCTACCCAATTTGAGCATGTACTACTACACAATCTTAATTTTTCTTTACAGTAAAAAAGTAAGAAATATTTACCTCTGTTGCATAAAGGTGGACAGGTATGCATGCATGTCTAGGCATATAAGTTCAATTAGCTACGAGGCTGAGGATTCTAGCCATGAGGTTGAGGATTCTTGAGAGAGAAGTCCCACCATCGGCTAATTAATTAAAGAGTTGATCATGGATTTATAAATAAGGAATACATCTCAATTGGTATGAGTCATTTTGATAGTTTATACTAAGAGTAGATAATATTACCATGGTGGAAATTTGTGATTCCTAATACTTAGATGGCTAACTAATTAAACTTGGAACCAGCTAATTAAAAAAATTAGTTAAAAACTAATGAACTTATGGTACATGTTGTACTTCCTAAACTGTTAGGCTGTGAAGTGTTTGAAATTTCAATTGGAAAATTCTGATCTGAGTCAAGATTCCCTCAAATGAAATGTTTTTAATTTTGATAATCTGGGAATATTACATTAAGGGTGAAAAAAAACTTAAACCAATGAATCGATCTGACCCAATACTGAGTAGCTGCTTTGAACTTGGGCTGTTTTCTTCCCAAAATCTTTCCCCTCTAAATCTGTGATCTCTCCTCTACCCCTCGTTTATCTGCCTCTCTCCAGCTCTCTTCTGGATAGTGGGAGAGATTTGGCTCATTAGTAGTGAGGTAGGTATTAATCGTTAAAAAAAACTAAGCTTATATGAAGTTAAGAACATATTCTTGGTGCATAGATTTGCTTAGGAATCCCACGTTATGTCAAAATTGCAGAATTTAATAATAAAATAAGTTTACTGACTAAATCATAGAAATCTAGATAAAGTCTGGTAGAAGCCCGAACAAAGATTATTTAAAGATGCATGGTACACCATAAAAAAAGTTGGAATATAGATGTTGGAAGAAAGTACTCCTCTAGATACAAGAGTGTTGCGATGCCGAGGACTTAGCATCACGACGTTGGAGAATACTATGGAGAGGTGCAATTGAATTCTTGTTATTTCTCTTCTGCGCTGCAACTAAAAAGGGCTATCCATCATGTTGCAAGTTTAAACTATTAGGAATTGCGACTCTCCACAATAGTATGATATTGTCCATTTTGAGCATAAACTCTCATGGCTTTGCTTTGGGCTTCCCCAAAACGCCTTATACCAATGGAGATAGTATTCCTCGTTTATAAACTCATGATCTTTCACATAATTAACCAACGTGGATTCACTCTCAATAATGCTCAACATAGACCCTTTCCTAAAATGGACATATCCAAATTTGAATTTGGAAACCTACGAAGCATTCGCGGGCATTTGAAAAAAATGGTGAGTTGAGTTAACTTGATAGGACTCGAGTTAGGCAACAAATTTTGAAACAGAACTTTCTTCGAGTTGAGACAAATCTTTCTGTGAGTATGAATTATTTATTCTGGAAGATAAGATTTTTACCGTTTTTTTTTTTTTTTTTTGCTATTATTGTTTTACCTATGTCAGCCTTGAATTATAGTAAATCTCCTATCCATATTTGACAGATTTTTATGTCATTTTTAATATCATGTGAACATTAAAAATAATTTAAATAATTTTGGTATTATAGCAAACGTAAAAATGAAAAAAAAAATACACATTTATTATTCAGGAATCAGTCTGACAAAAACTCGGGAGCAAAAGATAGAAATTTTCTCCCCTAATAAAAACACTGGAGTCAGTGGAACCATTTATTGCCACCCGGTTGGCCACTTGGGTATTGGCCAATTCTATTGATGACAAACATGTCGGCAAGACACGGCATGGCTATTTACTCGTGGCAACCTGCCTCCTTGGATTTTACTGTCCTGCTCCTTTTCAATAGGTCGTCATCGACCCTTTTTATCAACTCTATAGATTGTAGTAGACCTCGTCACGCTTCCTGCCAATTTCAATATAAATGGACATTACATTTATATATGAGAAATTAGGTGCCTAATACTCAATGATTGTTCGGTTGCCTGGATTAACCATTTCTCTGCCATATTTTATATGGGAAATAGCATCCTTGGTATCTTTTTCTTCCCGGTAGTTGGTATTCCATTATATTTCCTCTATTTTTGTGGTATTTGAAATGAAAATAGCATTTGATTTTGTATGGATTGGAAAAATGCTACCAAAGTTAGGTTACCTAAATAAAGAGAATATCATGGAGAAAGTAAAGAGGTAATATGTCAATTGATATAGACTGTTTTTCGTGATTTTAAAATAAATTCTGAAATGCTGTGAAATATCATACCATTGTAGAAATATATGAATGGTCTTTTGTCCCTAAAAATTGTTATAGAATCAATTGGCAAGAGGTCAATGATTACGTGAGTTGCTCAAACAATCCCAATTAGCTCTTCTCATGGTAGAAGAACAAATAATGACTATTTATACTGGAACGAATGATTATCTTGATTCATTAGAAATTGAACAAGTAAGAAAATTTCTTGTTGAGTTACGTACTTATGTAAAAATCAATAAACCTCAGTTTCAAGAAATAATTTCTTCCACCAAGACGTTCACCCCTGAAGCAGAAGTTCTTTTGAAAGAAGCTATTCAAGAACAGATGGAACGTTTTCTACTTCACGACCAAGTATAAAAGAAAACAAGTAAGAGTGATACCTCTAACTTAGTCACGTTAATAGAATTCTCAGAGTGTTGGACAAAAAAGTTGCAAGTCTCAATAAAATAGAGATACGAGGCTTAAATTGATCAAATTGAAAGTGTGTTTCACATAAAAGAAGTAAATAACTATTTTAGGAGAGGTTTGATGATACTTTGTTCAAGAGAAGAATGACCAGGAATTTGACCAAAGTACCAAATTGACTAATAAGTGAAGATCATGGGTAGATAAGTGGGAGATAATATTTCTATTGGTATAAAACTTTTTGAATGACTAAAAAAATTACGAGCTTACCGTAGGTGTGAATGATTTGTTGCCCCAATACAATTTTATAATAGTGTCCTTTTGCATGTTTTTCATTTGAATTTTAATTGGAGTCCTAATCAAAATTATTGTCAATTAATGAAAGAGATATGAAAAGGTATAGATATTCAAACAAGTAGGTGAAATCAGACGGAGGTTAATTAAAAAATCAAATAAAATAAAAAGAAGAAATCCAAAGAAGGTGAGAGGAAGAAATGTAAAGAAGAAACATGCATCACACTTCTCACTGCACCAAACCCATACATTAATGGGTTTAAATTTAAGAGAACGACATTTTGGTTACTTATTTTTCTTAAAAAATGTTCAAATCAAACATCAATGGCTTATTGAAGATTATATGTGAATACATTAAACAAAAACAATTAGTAATATCTGGGGCCAATTTTATTATGGGAAAACGAATGAATTTTGATTAGTCAATTTGATTGGAGTAATACAAACTAAAATTTTTGTCTAAAAAATACTCTTTAATTTTAAAAAATTTAAATAATATCCTTAAACCTTTTCTGTCGAATGGAAACATTTAATATTTTGTTTCAAAAATACTTATGAATTTTTATAGTGTTTTAAAAATACCTTTACATTTCAAAAGTATTTAAAAAATATTATTGGATTTTGAAATTTTTCTTTTTAACACCTTCAAAAAAACTTTTTTAATTTTTTTTTTAAAAACATCTTTAAATTTTTTCAAAAACTTAAAAAATACTATTGTTATTAATATATGTATAGAATCTTTTAAGTACCAAATTTAAAAATATCCATGAATTTTTAAAAATAACATTATTATTCTTTAACTTTTAAAAAAAAATTAAAAAACTTAGAAATGACCTATAAAATTTTATAGAAAAAAATTAAATAGATGGTTTCTGTCTATATATTGACGATAATAATTTTTCTTACTAAGGTTAATGGTATTAATGCTACTTTTTAAATTTTATAGGTATTTTTTTAAACATATAGGAAGAGTATTTTTGAACTTTTTCTCAGGTAAAATTGTATTTTTAAAAATCCACTAAAATTTGTATGATATTTTTAAAACGAAAAATATTAAAAATTAATGTCAAATATATTATTAAAACTTTAGAAAGTTCACGAATATTTTTTTAAGACAAAATATAAAAATTTAGAGGTTTTTTATTATTATTTTTTTTTAATTAAGCCCTTTTTTTACTTTGACAAGGCCAAGGGTAACGGTGTTGACACCATCAACATACAAAACATTAGGTAAGAATAATTAAATTGGTACTAAATAATAATTAAAAATTAAATGAAAGAAAAAGAAAAAGAAAAATAAAATATAAAGTTTGGAACGGTGTGTTCCTTTGCTCTTTTTCAACCAAACTGATAATATAGAGTCATACATAAGTTTGTGTATGGCAGTTGAAATTAAATGTTGAATTATTAACATTAATACCATCAATAATTGTTGGTATTATTTTTATTGATTTGGAGGCTTTGGCTATTTAGAGTCATATCTTAGTAATTTCAATTGTTAATTGTTAAATAATCAAAAGCTTGAAATCTTATTAAACACATTTCAAATTATGAACAGAAAAGAGAGAGAAAGAAATCACTGTGAAAGAGACCGTTTCTCACTTTCCTTTCTACAAAATTTGTTCCCATCTAATCTACTACGTTTCCTGCGATCCAAAGTAGATTACTTGCACCTACCGAGGCTACTTTTGTCTTTTCACATACTATATATATATATACTAATACACTAAGAGAAAACTGTGATGGAAACAGACAGCTTTTTCCGTGGCTTTTGATTCTTCCTGACTAATCGTGCCTGCCAGCTTCACTTGAGCGAGGCTGTACAGAGTATTAAAAATTAAATAACTTTTTTCTAAGTTTCACAGGAGAGAGAGAGAGAGAGAGCGAATGAGATTCAGGAAAAGAGGCTGATTGATTTGAGGCTCTGGTTCCTGTTCTGAGCAGAGGGAGGAGGGTGGGTTTCTGGAAGAGATAGAGAAGGATGAATTGGAGGTGGAGGGAGCTGATATCTCTCATCCTTCTTTGCATTCTAGGATGGAAGCCTAGCTCCATTCAAGGAGCCACAGATCCAACAGATGGTCAGCTGCCTTCCCAATTTATTTTCCTCTGCTTCTACTATTGTTTTCTGTGCATTTCTTCTTTACTTCCACATAACTAGATTTTCGAAGATTGCGTGTATTTCCCTAGAAGTTTTCCTACGCCTCCTGCATATTGTTTGTAGTGCATTGCGGCGATTCTTGCGGATTTGAAGATTTTTGTACTTGTTTCAAAAGAAAATGGTTGTTTTGTTTACGGTATAATAGATTTATGAGACGAAGAACACAAGTTGGAACACTGATTTGACTTTTGGGATGTGGGTGTTTGACTACTGATTGATTGCATTCGTTATTCGCATTATACGGTTTATGTAAAATTCTGTTCCTCACGCCAATTTTAATCTGCAGCCTCTGCTTTAAGAGTTTTGTACTCCAGCTTAAACTCGCCGCCTCAGTTAACCAAGTGGAACGCAAATGGCGATGATCCTTGTGGACAATCATGGAAGGGGATTACTTGTTCTGGCACACGGGTTACGGAAATGTAACTACAATCCTGATTTGTACTGCCCTACATGTTCCCATATGATATGACATTGATGCTTATGAATGTTTGCATTCCTTTTTGTTAGAAACTTATCTGGCCTTGGACTCAGTGGATCGCTCGGGTACCAGCTTGCAAGTATGGCATCGGTAACCAACCTGTAAGGTCCATAGCCTTTTGGTGGACTTCATATTGTTTCTTCTCTTCTTCTTATTAATGTGGATAATTCTATTATGTTGCAGAGATGTGAGCAATAACAATATTGGAGGCGAGATAGTCTACCAACTTCCACCTAACCTGAAAAGACTGTATGCTTCTTATGTAACTTAGCTTTATTTTCTGCGTTTTACATGAAGTTATGAATTGTCCACAAGCTAAAGCTTCCACTACTTACTAAGAACTAAGCCTATCCCTGTGTTCCAAATGCCCAAAATCAGTTACATAAGAGAGTAAGTAGTGTATGACCGGGACACAAAATTAATAATTAAAAATATAGAGGTTTCGACTAGAAGAATCACATAACAACAGCCCAAGTCCACTGCTAGCAAATATTGTCCTCTTTGGGTTTTCCCTTTCGGGCTTCCTCTCAAAGTTTTTAAAACGGGTGTACTAGGGATAGGTTTCCACACCCTTATAAGGAATATTTCGTTCCCCTCTCCAACCGATGTGGAATCTCACAATTCGAATAGCTTATGAAGCATACTATAAGTTCAATAATTGCATATGTGCTCAATAACTACGTTTTACATGTTATTCTCACGTCCATTCTTCTATCTGCAGAAATCTTGCTAGAAACAACTTCAATAAAGGCATCCCTTATTCCATTTCCTTGATGCCTTCTCTTCAATACTTGTAAGCAATTTTTTTTAACCATCAATTGGCATGCTTGTTTTACCAAAGACTTTGGCTGTTATTGATGTTTTTTCCCTCATTTATTGAAATTGTAGAAATATCAGTCATAATCAGCTTCAGAATCCATTGATTGATATGTTTGGGCAGCTTACTTCCCTATTCACATTGTAAGATATCTTCCCTTACTTATTCATTTCTTATGAGAATTTGAATGGCTGCTGATTTGAGCTGACCAAAGATTGTTAGGCCCAGACTCTTTCAAATATATTTCAATTGCAATCCTGTTTACATGGCTTGTATGCACATTTTTATACTTGGTGGGCCAAACAATTTTAAAATTTTCCATTCACCTGATAAGTTCTATGCCTAATCTATTTGATGACATTTTCGTCATAGTACTTCGTTCTACAATGAGAAATTTACCATAATGCCTGTCATGCATTGTCTTCTCACGTTGCTGAAACATATTCTTCAAGACAAAGTATGAGAATGATTGAGTTTGTTGTAGTCTTCTCGCTTGACGTATTGAAATTTGTATTTCAATCAGGGATCTGTCTTTCAATGCTATGTCAGGCAACCTGCCTCAGAGTTTTAGCTCTCTTTCTGGCATCAGCACTATGTAAGTCTAATTCATTCCTATGCTATTGACACCTGAAGTAGTATTGTCCTTTTTGCTGATTCCGTTGATCTACTTTTAAACAGGAATTTGCAAAACAATCAGTTCACTGGCACAATTGATGTCCTTGCAACTCTTCCTCTTGATAACCTGTGAGTTTAAAGCATCTAAGTTAACATGGAAGATATGCTTCTTTTCCACCATCTTATTGAATGCTTTGGGTTTTTATTTTTTCAAGGAATGTTGAAAATAATCGTTTCACTGGCTGGATCCCTAATCAACTGAAGAACATTAATCTGCGGTGAGTATATCTGACATTATCATTGGCTGGTAATTCTTTTAATTGAATACTGATTTTGACTCCATTAGCCTTCAATATGATTGAAAATTTTATCAGGAAAGATGGCAACTCCTGGAGCTCAGGTTCTGCACCCCCTCCCCCACCTGGTACTCCCCCAGCCACCAGAAGGAACCGGAGTCACAGTTCTGGTGGCAGTCCATCAAATGGTGGTTCTAGTGAAGGTCAGAAATCAGGATTAGGTGGTGGTGCCATTGCAGGAATTATCATCTCTGTGCTTGTCGTTGGAGCGGTAGTAGCATTCTTCATCGTCAAGAGGAGATCGAAGAGATCATCTTCAGACATTGAAAGGCTTGATAATCAACCCCTGCAACCTCTTAAAATGACTGCAACACAAGGTCGTGTTCTACACTATGAGATTATTATTTGCATTTTCATATTGTCTATATTTTCATGCCTTGAATTTTTTCTTTATAGATTCCGTCATTTCTTGTTCAAAATAATTGGGTTAGAATATGAGAGAGATGGTCATGAAAGAACATTGGAATTTACTGTTTGCAGTTGTGTTCCCTGTATCATAGCTTCAGCCTGATTTTTAGTTCATAGACCAATAAGGGAAATGAAGTTTCGACAAAGCATTCTTTATAAGAGTGTGGAAACCTCTCTCCAGCAGACGCGTTTTAAAAACTTTGAGGGGAAGTCCGAAAGGAAAAGCCCAAAGAGAATAATATCTACTAGCATTGGGCTTCGGCTGTTACAAATGGTATTAGAGCTAGGTTCTGGGCGGTGTGCCAGCGAGAGTGCTGGTCCTAGAGGGGTGGATTGTGAGAGCTAGGTTCTGGGCGGTGTGCCAACAAGGGCGCTGCTCCTAGAGGGGAGTGGACTGTGAGATCAAAACATTCATTCTTTATAAGGTGTGGAACCTTTCCCTAGCAGACATGTTTTAAAAACCTTGAGGATAATATCTGCTAGCGGTAGGCTTGCTGTTAACATTTGATGTTATTTGTTGCTTGTTTTCATATATTGTTGTGTAAAGTTCGATTTTATGGCATTAAAATTTACTTTTAACACCACTGAATGCTTTCAAACATTGTAATGCAGAAATGAAGTCAGAAGAGACTTCCTCCACATTTTATCCAACAGCATTTGACACTTCTGCTGCAATTAATCTCAAACCCCCACCTATCGATCGTCATAAATCGTTTGATGAAGACGACTTCTCAAAACGAGCACCAGTCGTCAAGAAGGCCAGTGCAGCTCCTATTAATGTAAAGGCATATTCAATAGCAGACCTGCAAATGGCTACAGGCAGCTTCAATGTTGAAAATCTTCTTGGTGAGGGATCGTTTGGACGTGTATATCGGGCTGAGTTTGATAACGGAAAGGTTACTCCCTAACTTAATTTTTCATGTCGAACTGAGATGGGAAAAGCATAATATCTAATGATAAATCTCTCTTAAGTTGAATATGCTAGAGATTTAAGAATCACACTATTAGATCCCACGTCTGTTGGAGAGGAGATCGAAACAAGGGGTGGAAACCTCTCCCTAGCAGATGCGTTCTAAAAATTTTGAGGGGAAGCCCGAAAGGGAAAGTTCAAATAGGACAATATCTGCTAGCGGTGGGCTAGGACGGTTACACACATATTAGCCTTAGCATGGTCCTAGCTGATTTTGTGTTATCATTTTTCCTCCAAACTGCTCCTGATGTTTTGAATTGATTCAGGTTCTTGCGGTGAAAAAGATAAACTCGTCTGCACTACCGAGGGAATTAGCTGAAGATTTCACTGACATTGTTTCTCAAGTCTCCCAGTTACACCATCCCAATATAACCGAGCTGGTGGGGTATTGCTCAGAGCATGGGCAGCATTTGCTTGTGTATGAGTTCCATAAAAATGGCTCGCTTTACGACTTCTTGCATCTATCAGATGAATACAACAGACCTCTAATATGGAATTCCCGCATTAAGATTGCCTTGGGAACAGCGCGCGCATTAGAGTAAGTTTTGCAGACATTAATGAATAGAAGTAGTGGATAAATGATTCATGTTGTTTGAAGACTAGACGCGATGATGGTAAACTTTTCAGGTATCTTCATGAAGTATGCTCCCCGTCAATTGTTCATAGAAACATCAAGTCCGCTAACATATTGCTGGATGCCGAATTCAGCCCCCACCTTTCTGATTCTGGACTGGAAAGCTTTGTACCTAATGCAGATCAGGTCAATCTTCAACCTAATGAATCGTATTTTTACTTCAATATACAACGGTTGAATGATTCTTTGTGGAAACCACTCACACTTTTTGTTAACAAGAAGAGACTACAAGACACTCTATAGAAACTACTACACTTTGATCTATGATCTATTGAAAAACACTCGCACTTTTTATTAACACTAATCGAGAAGAGATCACAAGACACTATAGAAATTACTACTATTTGTACTTTTTATTAACACCAATCGAGAAGAGATCACAAGACACTTTATAGAAACTATTGCCACTTTGTTCTACTAGACACTTTATAGAAACTACTGCACTTTGTTCTACTTGAGACTGCTCGGGATTTCTTGGAAGACACTTTACAGAAACTACTGCACTTTATTCTACTTGAGACTTTATTCTACTTGAGACTGCTTGAGATTTCTTGGGATGAAAACTAGGTAAGGTGGAGGAATATTTATAGTAGAGGCTAGACAATCTATTTCTAAAATATCTAAATCTATATTTAGGTATCTTTATTCTTAAAATAAAATAAATATACAACGAGCTCATACAATTATTAGATTTGACCCTATTGAGCTAGCAATGATATTTTAATAAGCACGGTAACACGAACAGTTATTCTAACTCGTATTTTGTAATCTGCAGGCACTGGATGACGGTGCAAGTTCAGGATACACTGCCCCTGAGGTCACCATGTCCGGCCAATATACGTTGAAAAGCGACGTCTACAGTTTTGGTGTGGTCATGCTGGAACTCCTGACTGGACGCAAACCATTCGATAGGTGAATATTTATGCACTTCCAAGTATGTTGTCATTCCATTAGTTTTCGTTCCATTGTGATGTTTTCTTGCAATTACAGTTCAAGGTCGAGGATGGAGCAATCTTTGGTTCGATGGGCTACACCACAGCTTCATGACATTGATGCTTTAACGAAGATGGTAGATCCCGAGCTCAAAGGACTATATCCAGTTAAATCTCTCTCCCGATTTGCAGATGTGATTGCGCTTTGCGTCCAGGTATCATCATATAAGTATAGTGTAGTATAGTATCGTATCGCCTCGCCTCGTCTTTAATGGTGTTTTTATTTAGACCTAAATTTATTTTGTAACGACAGACTGAACCTGAGTTCAGACCTCCAATGTCGGAGGTGGTGGAAGCGTTGGTTCGTCTGGTACAGCGAGCTAACATGAGTAAGAGAACAGTTGGGAACGATAATGCAACATCTCCCAGGGGAGGAGAGATGGGTGGAGAGGACACACCATAGACACAACACAGCACAGCTTCTTCAAAGGTAAAAATTGTTGGTTACTACATCATCATGAAACTGGAACACAAACATACCTTCTTCTTCTTCTTCTTCATAATTCTTTCTTCATAATAATAATTATGTTTGTTGTTATGTTGTTAATATTACATGTTTGATGTTTAGATTATTCCTTCTGTGGAAAAGTTTACACTCCATAGCTTTTTAGTGTATTTGAAACATAATGGTAAAACAACTCAGTTTCATTTTCAACAAGTATTTATTTCGATTAAATAATTCGAAGATTTTACTTGTATGAACCATTCTGTTTCTTCATCTTGTACCCATTCTTGTTCACATTATTATTTGTTGTTAATTTATTATTTAAATCTTACCTGGTTAGGGAAACCACTTTTAATAATTTGGTGGTCGATTACTATATAATAATTATGAAAGGGGTTGTAAACAAACTTTTATACTAACATTTTATTAGATAGAGGATGGAAATTTTGCACAACTTCTAGTTAGAGAAGATCCATGGACAATTATAACTTTAATCTAATAATTATGTTGATTTAAACTAATTACCTAATTTAAACTCTAATAAGTTTCAATGTTAGATCAAATAGTTTAATGTTTTTAAATGATACTAAAAAACTAGATACGATGCAACAAATAAAATAAATAAAAGGGTAGTACTACTGACCAATATGGTTTATCTGGTGCCAACCACATTTGGGTTGTATTAAGAAGAGAACTTCTTAGACGAATCCGATTGTTGTTGTCTTGGGGATGGATAAGATCACACTGGCCAACATAATTAAAGCCACCCAACAGGGGAATCAGGCTATGCACTTCCTTTTATAATTGTAATACAATGTAAATTTTGAGAAGCATAACATACCATTAATCCAAGCGTATGTGATGCCCTCATTTTGTGAATTTGTTCGATCATCTTTGTTTGAATGTTGCACTTATTCCCCCCATCTGAAAATTGGATCAATCGCTGATCTCATTGTATCCTTAATTGTAGTTGTATCATCGAATCTCTTCATCCAGACTCAAAATTTCGTCGAGTTTTTTCAATGGCTACATATCCTAAACATAAAGATAAAAATAGAATTAACTTTATCCAAGTAAGAGCAATTCCAGTTCTATGCTTGATGATCCTTTAAAAGGAGAACACAAGGATTGACTGAAAAATATGTTATACCATCAAGTATGTCTCTGTAATGACCCAAGCTCCACCGTTAGCCGATATTATTCTCTTTGGATTTTTCTTTTTGGGCTTTCCTTTTTAGGCTTACCCTCAAGGCTTCGCGTCTACTAGGGGAAGATTTCCACGTTCTTGGTGTTTTGTTTTCCTTCCTAACCAAGGTGAGACATGTAATCCATCCAAGAAAAAAGGATTGGATCAAGTGTAAAATAACAAAGGCAATATATTCACATGATAGCCTATGAAATCTAAAAAATAGAAATCGAACAATTGTTTAAATACGGGGCCACCAGCGCCAATGAGGATAGAAGGGTAACTCCACTCATAGTACTTCTCTAATCAAGAATAGAAGTGTAGTTTCTATTAATTACCTGCGAAGGAAAGAACAATCTGAACTTACCAGTGCTGAACCGGGATATTGTTGGACTTTGTGCTCGGTTTTCATGCCATCAAAGGATGAGTAGAGTTGTGAAACATTTGCACTCTTTATTAACATCAATCGAAAAGAGATTACAAGACATTTGGTAGAATACTACTACACTTTACTTTAATTGAGAGCTTGAGTTTCTTGAAATTGAGAGTTTTGAGTTTCTTGAGATGAAAACCTAAGCAAGGGGAAGGGATATTTACCGCGGAGGCTAGACAATCTATTTTTAAAATATCTAAATCTTCTTCCTAAAATATTTAAGTATCTTAAATCATTTTTTTAAAATAAATATATAATGAGCTCATATAATTATTGGGCTTGACCCTATTGGATTAATCTATTGGATTAATGATAATGATGATATTTGAACATAGCACAGGTAAAATCTATCTAAGACCCACCCAAGGAGCTTTCCTATAAGTATATATGTTTACGTACATTTGAAGAAAAATGCAGAAACATTAAGAACATGCAATGAACTCTTAAAGAATTTAATAAAATCCAATGGTCAAGTGACAGCTACACTAAAACATGATGATGTCCAAAAGCCAAGTACAGATGTACCTTCAGAGCTCGCCAATGAGAATATGTGCGAAACAAAACCCTAAAGAAAGGAATGTTTGGCAGCGGTAAAACCTATAATAAGAAAAAAAACCAGTATAGCAATCAAGAGAAGTCCTATAGCCGTTCTTAAGCATTAAGGAATTGAAGTGTAGCAAATGCATGTTATGTCAAACTCATGACAACGTGATCATGATAATAAAACAAACTATGCAGAAAAAAGTTTGGCTGATATACCAAAATAATATGAACAACATACAGTCAATGTACTTGTCAATGGAAGCATTGAAACTGAACCATAAAAGTATTTCTTGTGGATGACAATTCCCCTGGTCATGAGATACAGAAAATTCACACCAGTAAGGGTCGTTGTTCTAGCTTTTGCAACAAGAATAGCTATCTAGAAACAAAAAGGACTTGAGATCATAATAAGCATTCTGTCATGGAACCACAGACTCATTGTTGTGACCAAATCGTAAGTAAACAAAATCTATAGACGTCAATTCTCGTCCCTCGGTCCAGAGCATAACACATTCTTGAATCAACGATATTTAGCCTAAAACAAACTAGGCAGATCGAAAAAAGAAAATGCACCTGAGAGCAATATGCCGTAACCTCCTGCGAACTAGCCGTGGATTCAAACTGTAATGTCGCAAGAAATCAGTGAAGTAACATAACAATTTGTGATAATAGTAACAATTTATATAATTAAGTATTGAAAAAGGCATCGGAAATGGATTTCAAGTAGATAAAGAAGCAGCAATGTTTTTAAAATAACGAAGTAAAAGAGATGAAACCTCGATGGATATGTTATTTCGACACTCGTGATATCTTTAGTTATTGACTTCAAGAATATCTCAGACGGCGTAACTCGAGACAAAAGCATCAATCCGATCCTACAAGCAGAAAAATCAATAAAGATCCAGTTGCTTTCACCAGAAATGTGACATAGGACTAATAGAATCGCGCTGGCGACACTTTACCCGTGAAGTTTATTTTTAAACGATTTATCAGGCGCCTTCTCAAGAGCAGTCCACGCTTTATTCATCTGACGTCCATGACATCGCGATGTTTGATTCGATCAAAACAAATACCAGATCAAAGAAGCGAAACGAAACTGAAAAGAATATGGAGGACCTTGAAAGAGATGAAATCAGTAAAAATCTCCGCATTGCTTCTACCAGTGCTGCGGGAGAGAGCGTCTGATTTGGAGGAAGAAGACGATGGAATTTTTGTCCAGAGATCCTTCAAAGTGGAAGGAATCTGAGAAGAAGCAGAATCCGAAGCGGCAAGGTCGATGGATCTGCTGAAACACCAATTTCTTCCTCTGATTGGAAACACTACCAATCTAGCTCTCCTCGTTCCAAAATTCCAATGGAGAAGAGGCTTCGTCGGTACACGAACTCCTCCCTCTGTCACATAAACACTAATCCCTAAGCAAATTGGTTTCTCTGAACCAAATGTGGAAAATGTGGAGAGAACTCGAACTCGAACTCGAAAGTGAACGAAATGAGTCTTAAATACGCGCCGTTGCGACTAATGCAAGAACGCGGGTGAAGAGAACTCCCGCCGCATCCCATTCATTACTAATGAAATTTTATATTGCCCATCAATTTTTTATATTTACATTTTGACCCCCAAAAAATTGGAATTCTCACTTTTAGAGTTGGTTTAAGGTTTTGTATAAGGAACGGAATGAGGGTTAATTTAAAAGTCCAAAAAATTAACTCTTATATATAATTAATTAATTAAAGACTAAACCTTAAACCGTTATAATCTTATAGTATAATAGCTAAATTATACATATTGATATTTATCGACTAAACTAATAGATAATTTAAAGTACATGAACGAGTAATATTACAAAAAGAAAATCCATAAAAATATTTTACAATGCAACATTACCTCTCAATTTCTTGATTTTTTTTTTTTTTTGGACACGCCCAATTCTATGATGATCTAACATTATGCTACATGCCGAAGAATTTCGAGTGAAAATAAAGAAGGATTGAATCAAAGAATCGGCTTGAAACTTACAAAAATAATGATGAAAATAAAGTTGTTTTTTGGTCATTCATTTTCTGCAATAAAGTTTGGGTCCTGACCTCGGCAGAGATATTCATCACATAGAGATGCTGATCGCCAGTCCTTTCTTAAACGCAAAATGTCTTCAGTGAAAGTGGAACCAGATGTTCCAATGAACACTTTCGACATTGCACAGATGGTCTTATCCAGCATGGCTTCCACCTTCCAAACATCATTTCAAAACAAAAAACTCAATAAGTATACGTGTCTACCTAGAATGATCAGAAGTTTTTTTTTGTTTTTTCGTCACAAATTGTGGCGTGTGTGGATTTGAACTTCCAACTATACGGAAATAAGTATACGTCAATTACTACTGAGTTAGGCTTATTTTGGCAAGGTTGATCTAAAGATTTAACCATCCCGAATAAATCCATCCTACTCGAGTAAGAAGCCATTGGTTGGCAAAATTAAGAAGCAACTAAACATTCAAATGCTAGAAATAATGCAGGAGCGGTTAGGAATTACGAACCTCTATAATGGTATGATATTGTCCACTTTGAGCATAATCTCTCATGATTTTGCTTTTGATTTTCCCATAAGACCTCACACCAATGGAGATGTATTCCTTACTTATAAACCCACGATCAATCCTTTAATTAGTCGCATTACTTATAAACCTATGATCAATCCTTTACTTAGCCATTGTGGGACTCCTCTTCTAACAATCTTCAACATAAACATCATACACGAGAATCTAAGAGGATTTTTTTTTTTTTAATATATAAAAACCAAACTATCATTAGGAAAATAAATGAGAGGAGAACTTTGAGGAAAACTTGAGACTATCCAAAGATATCAATCGCTACGTCTAACCCCAGTAGATGCTTCAGCCTAACAACCCACTCACCATCATCCCGGGGGGGGTCTAAAGTATAGTGGAGGGGAAAAAAGTAATAACTTTTTGATGTCCAAAGAATGAGAAAGGAGGCGCTATGAAGAGGGATCAGTAACCATCTTCTGGATTAGATATCAATTCATAAGGTCCACATCAAAACTTTTATCCAGAAACGATTCTCTAACGCCTAATGAAGTTATCTTATACGAGCAATACCATGTGATAGCTGGGTTGGTTTGGCTATTCCTTTCTATTGAAAAGGAGTCGGTTGAGGATTTTTGGAAGAAAACACAAGGCATTGATGCATAAAATATACTACATAATTGCATTAGATCGCATTCAGATTTGATTAACTAAAAATGAGTCACTCACCTGAGAATCTCCCTCAATTTCATGTCTGTAAAGTAAAGCATCCCATTTCTCAGCTGAATTTCGAGGCGGTCGTTTAACCAGTGGTATGGGCTTTCCATTCACCACAACAAGGGACTGCAGCAATCCAGTTTCGCTGTCTGCAGCATCTGTGGAAAGATAAATGACGGGTGAATTGGACCGCTCAGCTACACTTGCAATGCAGTCTGCAGCTTGAGGAATAGGGTAAAAGCAACTTGGCCGTTTTGCATTACTGGAAATAAGCAAGAAAGAAAACTATGAGTTTTCTCAACATCAAGGCCATTCAGAAAGCACGAATGCTGTAGTAGAAGTACAAATCTATGAGCCACATCTCCATGACCATATAATCATGCATGTCACGCAAGTGAAAAAAAAAAAAAGAAGAACAACAATGATAATGGGGGAAAAACATCAAAAACAGTTGCAGCATTATGAACAACAAAACTAAAGTTGAAAACAGATCAAGCAGTCAATGAACAACACAAACACCAAGATATGGGCAGATAATGTTGAATAAAGTAAAGATGTGAGATCATAATATTTCCTAGCTATGAGATAGAATGAAAAACACAACATTAACTTAGTACAAATTGGAGCTGGGGGATGGATGAAATACCAGAACTTCAGAAATCCATGTCGTCGAAAGTGAATAGCTGTGAAATCGTTCCCCAAGAAAGTCTGAATGAAACGCTGAGCAGTGACCATAATAAGATGGCTTGGTTCAATTAGGGTCTTGCATTTGTGGGCAATAGGACCCCCTGGTTGCCCAAACCAGTCATTCTCTACATTAGCATAAAAAACATCTCCAATGGCAATAACATCAGCATCGGAAGAGAACTTGGACTCGATATCTTGAACTGTTTTTTTACTGGGATTCTTAATATCCTCATCCCAAGGAGACTCGAGTTTACCCGTGGAAACCCCTATATTGTTTAACTGCTTAACATGGTCCTCGTCCAAATAACAGTGATCAGGTTTTGAAAAATAACAGAAAAACTTATCGATCTGCAACCGTTTCTTCTGAATCTCGGAAAATTCTTCAAAAGAGACGACAACCTTCCTACCCAAGCAATTATTGACGTGATCTACATCCAACACCCTACTATACTGATAATCGACTTTGGAACTAGGAATGACCAAAAATCGATTAAGAATGGCCGCAAAGACCATGTGTTTTTCCAAGCAAATCAAATGGTTCGACATCTGTCCTGATGCGCAAATGGCAAACAAAAACTTATTCGGTTTCGGATTCCATTCTATGGTCCGTCTACGGGACAACTCCTGGTCCACCTTCCTACACCTATCGAAATCAGAACCAACAAAATCGAGCTCTTCAACGCCTACTTCATTCGATGAGTTCCCAGACTGATGTGGTGATAAAAGAGCGTTTTGGATCTCCGTATTCAGCGAAATCTGCCTAAGTAACGATAATTTGAGGTCCTCAGACGTGGAATTGGGGAGAGAACTAAAAGAATGATTCCAAATTGACAAAAGACCTAACCGCTGCTGCTTCAACAAAAACAATGCGTGCAGTTCAGATTCCCTCATTCGATGACCGAGAGAATCAAAAACTCTGAACGACGAAGAGAGCTCCCCAGAGAAAAGACTCCTAATATCGGTAGAGAAATAGACGAGTACAAGGAAGAGAGGAAGAAAAATGGCAAAGAGATACCTCTTTCTGAAGGAGAAACGACGCCGGGGGGAGCCAGAACGAAAATCGAGGCCATCGCCGACGTTGAAGACGGCGGAGCGAGGGGAAGGAGAGTTGTTGATCTCATTCTGGTGGATCAGATTCTCTCGATCGTCGTCTTCGTCGGAAGACGGATCGGGCTTCTCCATTAACGCCAGGAAACAAGGTTTTAGTGTGAGGCAGGGCTGGAAGAACAGTTTCAAGCTAAGTAGTAGCCGTTAAATTGGACATTAAAAATGGCAGGGGAAATGAGATCTGAAGTTGCTCAAGAACTCCGTCGGTGACGAAAACGACGGCGTATCGGGCCACCAGACATCGATCTGAAAGGACGCTTGTTGGGCCCAGCCCATCTACTTCTCTTCCTTTCTAGCAAAGCAAGCCTTTACGCTTCTAAATCTCATCCAATTTTAATATTTTAAATACCATTAATTAAAACATAATTAAATTTAATAATGGAAAAATAATTCTGAAATCAAATATGAAAATTAAGAAAGAAAATAAAATTCAAAATACCATCTTATCTAAAATTCAACCATTTTTATTTTTTATATTCTCAATTTTCGATAATTTCATACATTTCTTTCATTTTTGGTAATATTAAAAATAAATTATATTTAATTTTGATGAATATAAATAAAAATAGTTTAGGATATTCCAAGGCATTTTCATACACATATAGCTACAATTACTATTTTAGTCATAGACTCATAATTTTTAACCCCTTCAAATGCAAATGACCCTAACACAACTGAAAAAAAAATACCCTTAAAATTTGTAAGACAAACATTAAAACTTTTATTAATTTATTAAAAAAAACTTGATTGAACGAGTGATATTTTTGAAACAGTTTTGAAAGTTTAAGAGTATTTTGAAATAAAATATTATCTATTTTTTTCGGAAGAAACTATGTTATCAATGTAGGAGTCTTAAAGCAGACTGACGGAGTCAAAAGGCAATTTCGTGAATAAGGGGAAGACTGACTTGATGGCTTCATGGCAAGACTTTGGTTCCTTTTAACTGTCCTACCCAACAACCAAATAACCACCACCTCTCTTAACACTTCCTCTTCTTCGTCTCTGGAACTCTTCCCTTCTCCCTCTTTCCCTTTCTTTTCTTCTTTCAATTCTTCTTTGAAGCTCCCATTTCACATTTCCAGCTCCCAAATTCCCATTTCTGTTCATTTCGAACTCGAGATTTTGCCAATGGAAGAAGATCACGCATCGAGGATCAATCGGTTATTCGGTGGCTCATTTGCCATGGAGCTAACAGGGAAGATCATGGTTGCGACCATTTTAATACTCTTCTTGGTCATTGTCTTCGTTCTGATTCTCCACCTTTACTCTCGATGGCTCCTGTCCAGCATTGACGAGTTGACACCGTATTCCTCTGCTAGTCAGCAGTCTGATCAGGAATCTGCCGTCGTGCCATTGTGGAACGGGCTTGACGCTGCTGTGCTCCGGTCGCTTCCGGTGGTGGTGGTGTTCTCGCCGGGGGATTTCAAAGAGGGGATGGAATGTGCTGTGTGTTTGATGGAGTTGGGTGAGGGTGAAAAGGCTCGGTTGCTTCCGAGGTGCAACCATGGCTTCCATGTGGATTGTATTGACATGTGGTTCAAATCCAATTCTACTTGCCCTCTCTGCAGAAACCCAGTGGCACCCAAATGCTCATATCCCACAGAAGTGAACTCTGCAGAGGATTTGGCATCTGGGTGTTCAATGGAGGTCAGCTCAAGAGGGGTTTGTTTGGAAGAAGCTCAAACTTCATCTTCTTCATCGGCAAACACAAGGGCAGAGGGAATGGTGGTAATTGACATTCCCAACATGCCCTCTACATCTACATCCGGTGCCGGTGCCGGTGCCGGAGCTGGTGCCGGTGCTGGTACCGGTACCTGTTTGGCCGATGAAGAGATGAAATCAGTTGTTACAAACAAATTGAGAACATTGAAAAGGCTTTTGAGCAGAGAGAGAAGAATTGGAAACAATCCCACTTCCTCAGATCTTGAACAAGAAGGGATGGGGCAGAGTTAAGAAACAGAACAAAAAATCAAAGCCTACTAATAAAAAACAGAGTTGACGAATCAAATCCAAGCCACTAACCAGAGCCTGTGACCTCCACATGGTCTGGCTGATGCCATTGAAAAACCTGTGCAGCTATTATATGGATGAAAATCAAATGGCTTGTAATCGGGAAAAAGAAAGGGTGGATTAATTGTTCTTTGTTTTGTGTAAAATGTCATGGAATCAATCAAAATATGAACAGAAAACTTGATTTCTCCCTCTTTTGTGGATCCGATGTTGGTTTATTGTGGAAATAGTCTAAAAATCAAAACGAGGATGATGCATAAGGAATATGAACATAACCCATAAGAACCGACTCATCAGCCAAACTGAGCATAGACCATTACCATTTCAAAGATCGATGATTGATTCTCTGCTTATTGAACTAGACTACAAAGTAAACAAGATATGAGACTGTACAAATGCAGAATTAACCAACCTTGACTTAGTAGTAAATTTTCTTTTCTACACGAAGTTGACGAAGACTAGGGTCATAATAAAAAACATAGAACTTTTTTAATATATTAGAAGGCCAAATAGGCGTCAGAAGATCTCTAGAAACTTACAAACACTGAGAATGGAAGATTTTATAGTGGAGTTGGGTCAGGTGACATCAATAGGTTGCATAATTAACGAAGAAATAAGAGAAATTGAAAATAAAATTTAACAGAGGAAGACAATAATATGTTACTTGATTCTGCCATGAGCTGTGACCATCGCCTCTTGCACATAATGGACGAGGTCCGCATCTGTGGTGAATAAAAGACATAAACATCCAAGTCCGACAACATAATCTTGGACAGTGTAAGATACAATATCTTCCGACATGAAGGTAATATTTTCTTGAAAAATTTTGATTACTGACCTCTCATATTTCCTCTGGTCACTCGGAAGATCTTGTAAAGAATATGCTCCATCAAAATATCTTCTCCCACCCCACTAAAAATAGAAAGGCATTTCCTCAATATTCCCATGAAGTAGATAATCTAAGCTTCCACTTTCCTACTAAGAGCTCTTTAAGTTCATCTTTGAAGACCTTTTTCCAGGCAATGCGTTTGTGGTGACTGCTACAGGGTACAAGGACTGTTTCTGGTTCCTAGCTACATTTTTTGTTTCCTTTTGACTGCAGCAGCATTCTCAGACTGATCCTTATTCCGTTTCCTTTTCGAATTTTTGGTTTTCGTTTCTGAAATATCATTATCTGTGGAAGCTCTAGTATATTTTTTATCACCGTGCTTACCTTTTTCTGACTTGCCCTTACTGCCAGACGTTGATAGAAAGGGTACGCCAGAAGTTGTGTAATGTTCGATCTCTTGCCTCATTGTCTTCACGTCCTTTGGATGTGATTTATGCTTCGAACTATCAGCAAGGAAACCCCCCGTCTTCAGTGATTTGGACTTGTCAGACCCAAATGTATCATGAAATTCTTTGTATGCCGATTCCCTCGATGCTTGTCTTGACCTCCATTGGTCAGGTCGGGATGCAAACCTGACATGAAACATCATTGGTAAAAAAAGAACACTAAACTTAGCTCTAATGGCATGCTACAACATTTGATTATATAACTTATGAAAAAACACGCTCCCCCGCTCATGATAAAGGAAACAGATCTTAGGTCATAATCATAAAATGAAAAGCATAAACTGTGTACCCTTCAACATCCAACTTCCTCAAAAGATGAGGTCCTTGCTTCGTTTTGGAGAGATCGCTTTTTACAACAACCAACTCAGATACAATGGCCTCCCGTAGTGACATGTTACTGGCATCGTAGCACTTTTCAACTGTAAAGGAACCTGATGACTGCATTGCAAGCTCTCCAAAGTGTCCTCGTAGCCTTTCAGTTCAGAATAGAAAAAGTTGTTATTGACTGAGAGCAAAAACTAACAAAAAATCCAATCCAACAAACTGAATGAGAGCTTCATTGATTACTCACGACTAGCAAGATTACAAGATGCATTCTAAGTCATTTGAAATTTAAAGATCATGTATCAGCAATAAAATAAATGTGTCCAACCAAATATCTAAATTCAAAGGGGAGACAATAATCATAGAAAACCTTAGACATTTAGAAAGAAGATATATCAAGGACTTTAAGAAGGGCAAACTAATTCAGCGACATTATTCATATCTATATACAATAAAAGCAATCAAAATAATTCAGTGACATACTTCATAACTAATCTGCGCTTCAGTTTTGCAGAGGCGTCGCAATTTAGAAGAGCTTCAATAACACGAGCTCCACTGGAGTCTTTTGCTACTTCAAGGATATGATTATCCTCCATTGATGTGAGACTTGTAATGAAAGGCTGAATCAGTTCCTGCAACATAAAAATGCACGGTTACAGACTTGTAAACAAATCAAACTTAGAATGCACAAGAAAAAGTTCTATTTAGCTAAGATTTGAATACAGGTCCACAAAATTCTATAGATGGTAGAGCAAGTTTAATCCCCCAAGTCCTTCGAACAAGCCATAGGATCCTATGAGGTCAAATTTCCCTTGGAGCAATAATGGATACTTGTTTAAAGAGATATGATCGAGACAGGGCCTTAGAAGAGTGGAGAAATAGAATTCATAAAACAGAACCCCAAGGAAAAAAAAATGTAAAATCACTAATAGTAACATCAGTAACACAAATCACATAAAACCCTAAGTACATAAAACGAATGGCCAGTCCCGTAGTGTTGGGATAGACAGACCGGCAGCAGAACTGTAAAAAAATGAATGTTTGTTTCCCTTCTAAAATTAAATAAACAAATAGCAATATCTGGGAGGAAAGCATACAGTTTGATATCGAAAAACTGCCTGCAGGATTAGAGAGCCCATGACAGGTATTTTTACTCCACAGGGAAAATTCCATTTGACTTTATCTTCGCAAGAGAAATATCTGTCAAGAAATAATATTCGAGGAACAATGCATCTTGGAGATTCGTCAGTGGAACATACAGCACGTACAAGAGCCTCACAACACTGTCAAATATCATAAATTCATAATTAGAAAAATGGACAGAAAATCAACACATCAACATTCAAATACCTGTAAGAAAAGACTCAAAACTAAATTACAGACCTTCTGTTCATGTGTCTGAAGCCTCTGACTCGTAGCAATTAGTGAAGCGACAACTCCTGACTTTCCCATTTCAAGAAGATCTCTAACTTTTGTTCCAATCTCTGACCATACCAACTCCACCTATGTGGAAAAAGACAACTCCTTAAGTATAGACTCAACACATTCAGACTAGTCTATGAAATACAATAGCGGAAAATTGTTAGAGATGCACTATATTGTGCCGCATATGTGCATGTGTATGCCTTAATGGAGGTCAAAGCCATTTTCAAATTATTACAATAAGTTTTAAAAAATGCTAATACATACTTGGTCTTTAGATCTTATGTGAGAAATTAGTGCTTGGACAGCAAAATTTCCACAGGGATGAGATGACAGCTCAAACAATGATTTCTGAAATACTTTTGTGACGAGTTCATTGAACAGATTTTCTGGAGCCACTTCCAAAATCACCTGCAAATTCAGACTAGCAGAATCAATACATCCAATTCTAAGAACGTATTTTTTTTTTTCACGAGACAGGGTATGAACAAAAATTTATTATGAAAACCATCTCATGAATGCTTCAGAAATGCAAATTAATTCTATGGAGTACATAAATTCAAAAGATGGAGCTTGGCACTATAAGTAAACATTTTTTATGTTCTCAAACCTCCTTTTTTTTTCTTTTCTCTCTATTTTTCAATTGCGGGAAGTTTGTTTAGCGTTCTGATCACACAAATGATAAAACAGAGAATTGCATAAGAAATAATCAAACTTTCACGAAATAGATTGGAGGTAGTAATCGTCCCCATATTAATGTTTGCTTAATTCCGATCACACAAAGACATCTGCATATAAATATTGGTAAAACACAGAATATCTATTCTGGCAGGAATGTAACACCTGAAAGCAAAATTTTGAAAGGTAAAACAATATTCCGACCAACTGAAATTTTATGCAAAGAAAATATCAGGGAATATTGGGAACTCGAGAAATCCAATTGAGTGAACAAATTGATCAACTACAAGTAATTAAATATGTGCATAGCAGGGCTAGTTTACTCCCATAAGTTCAAAACTAACTCCAACTAGGATTGTCCATCTCACCTCCATTAAATGGCTAAATGCAGTCTCTTTCATCAAATCCACAACATCTGGAACAACGGATATTTGTACATAATTTCCCTCCACAACATCTTTCTCACTACAGCCAAGGAGGATGGGTATTATATGCCTCAGCTCGTCATCTTGCCCCACCAACAACTTCAGAATAGTCTGTAAGATGGTGAAAAATAAGTCAACCATCTAGTGGCCTAATATACATAATCATACTGCCTCAGCGACTACACTAAAGTTTAAATTCTTCAGGTATAAATAAAAAATAATTATGAACCCACAAAATAATAGTATATTTTCATAAAACAAAACCTGAATAACCAAACTGCTGTACTGATCAACTTGCAGGATCCTGGCATTCTTTCTTGCACCTTTCAGCAACCCAGAAACAAGAAACTTCAGAATTTCTGGGAAGCCTCGACCAGTATGGAACTCACCATCTACATTATAACGAGGTGCCTTGACATTCAACCTCTCTGCTAGAACAGTTGATTTTCTGGAATGAAATTCTGAAGACTCTGGACGTACTCCTTTACAAAGATGAAGAAGACTTCGAAGAACATGAGAACCATGACAATTACACATCACATCGAGAGGGTTTGCTACAATTTCCTGAAAAGAAATATACACTTAAGGAACGAATTACATGTGTACAAGTATGTCTGTATGTTCATATAATAGAATATACACACATAAATATGCAATGTGCATATTATGAAATATTCTAGTTAATGATTATGACAACCGAGAAACTTTATGCCTAAAGCATGAAATGATGAAATGTTTTGACTGACAAATAAAAACCAAAGAAATACAAAGTCAACCTTCATGGTTCAATGCTAGGAAAAACATAAATTGCTAAAATTTCACACCTTACATATTGCTGTTAAAGTATCTTCAATAAGACCATGAACATCCTCGTCCTGTAGGTGCATAGCTAAAGACTTGATAGCTGTTTCAGCAACATGTGAGCCAGATCTATCCATTGCAATAGATGGAAACTGATTGGCACAACCGTGGAGGAAATTACAAAGGTCGTCAACTTTACAACCTTCAAGAAGGCTTTGCATAGTATGACTTATGATATAATCAGTGGCAAGTTCAAACTCTTTCCCCACAGCTTCCTCTAGAGCATTACCACATATAACCGATCGCTCTTCAAAGTCAACCTCATCACTCTCAAATAAATTGGAAATCTCTGTGAAGTATTTTGTTGTTTCGGGATCAACCTGCTTCCTATAAGATAACTTCCCTCATGAGTATAGAGAACAAGTAGCTAAAAAATGCATGAAGTTGAAGAAAAGTTCAACTCTACTGCTAATGGAATGTCCAAGAATACATTAAAAAGAGGCCATGCTACCTAATGAGTGACGTTTGTGGTGCGGAAGTACTTTTATTATTGGAGAACTTATTGTTAGAGTTCAGGGTTCCACCATCCATCATCCAAGATGTGTTCTTGTGGGTGTTACTTCCATCAAAGCCATGACCTCCTTGTTCAGCCTTCCTACTCATGCCGTTTCTTTTCCTCCCACTTTTACGTGCAAATTTATCTTCACCCATTAAGCAGTCTTCAACTGAGATAAAGGTTCTATGTCTTCTCAATAACCACAACCACCTAGGCCCTGGTCATCATGTAGAAAAGAGCTCAGACCATACATCGATTTAAATCATTTGTGGCGGGGCAAAAATCAGTGTATAAAATGTAGAACTTAAGAATTTAGGTCCAATCAGACAACCATTTGGTCTTTTGGTTTAAAATTAAGCATATAATAAACATTACCTACATCTATGAGTTTCTTTGTTTTGTTTATCTACTTCCTAGAAATATTTTCAAAACTTAGCCAAATTTTGAAAACTAAGAGAAGTAGTTTCAAAATAATGTTTTTGCTTAAGAATTTGAGAACTTAAATGTTTCTTTCAAAAAGTGACAACCCTAATAAAAGAAATTGCGAGTAAACAAGAATATGTTTCAAAAACTAAAAACGAAACCAATATGAAACTAGACCTTAGCAATTCACTCCAATTGCAATAAAATTGAACAGCTTCATATTTCAAATACCAGTAGAGTTTCGAGTTTGCATCAGCAAAAAACAAAAAAAATTAAATTAAACCAATCATCTGGCTACCAACACACTTATAACTAACTACAGAAATCAATTATCATCCTTCATTCGGATAATTACGGCTCATAAATTTCGACTAAAGCATTTGGAAAATATACGAATTGAGTAAAATTCCAAGCAAACTAAACAAAGATATCAATGGCAAAAGGAGAAACTTACACCGACACAGCTTGTTTTCAGAATCCGAAATCGTGGAGCTGAAGCAAGAAGAAGATGGCGATCGACTTGGCGCAGTGAATCGCCGGGAAACTTTCGCCGTCAAAACCTCAATTCAGGGTTTAATAAAAGGTTTAGAACTTTTATTTTTTCGTCTTCTATAAAAATAATTTTAAATTAAATCAAATTATAAAATATCAAATGGGCTTAGGGTTTCCAAATACTAGTGGACTTGCCGTTCCCTTCTGTTGGGCCTCTTTTTCTAATCCAATCGTTGATGGGCCTTCATTTTAATTCAATTCCCATTTTACCCTTGTAATTTGCCCCAATTTCCAAGTCTGCCCTGCCAATTATTGAACCCCCAATTTTGACCTTGACCGGCTGCTATTTTTAAATACCCTCTTATTTTCCAAAAAATAGCCTAATTTTCATTTTAAAATAATTATCTAAATCTAATAATTCAACAAATTCATACTATTAAAATTAAATATAAATTTGGTTTTATTTACATTGGTTCAGTTAACTTGAAAATAGGGTATAATCCAACTCTATCCTACTTTTAAAAATATAAAAAATAATATTTAAATTTATAAATATGTGATATTATCATGTATTTTAGACAAATAAAAATTTAATAATTAAAAAATAATAATCCAATTATTTAAAATTTGAGATATTCCCAAAATATTCTTTTTTTTCTTTTTTTTTTCTTTTTTCATGAATTTGCAAATCGTTATTAATTTCTAATTGTGAAGAAAATTGGTAATTCCAAAAATGTCTTTTTCGAAGATGCTTCTCTTCTCTGTTGGAAAAAGGATGAAACCGCGTCGTATTGTAAAAGAGAGAGAAACGTATGGTACTAAAAGTATTCCCATAAAATATTTTAAATTAATTTCTTTTACAAAAAAAAAAATATTTTTTTTTTCGAAAATACACTTAATTTCAATAATACCTTTAAATTTAAAAAAAAAATCTTAACTTTTATAATATTATCATTTTTTTATAAAATTTTTTATTATAAAAGTAATTAAAAATATCTTTTACCTAACCATCCAAAATTTTCCACTCCTAAGTAAAATACTCAAGTCACGTGCTACCTCTATTTTAAGTTAAGGCAATACATTCTTGTACAACATCGCAACTCAAGACCATGACACATGTAGATAATCATATTTATTTTTTTAGACTTAAGCTAAAATAGGATTTTTTTAATTTAAACATTTATTTATTTTATTTAGTTTTTTGTTTGGTTGTTTTTAAAGTTGTTTTCCATGAAACTTGAGGGATTACACTTAAAATTTTAAAATTTTAATTTTTTTTTTTTTTTTTTTTTACTTTAAAATCATCCTTAAAACTTTTTTAAAAGTTTAAAAATATTATTATCGGAAACCCATTAATGCTTTAGTTCAAAAAGTACTTTTAATTTTTAATTTAATTTTATTGGATTAAATAATAACAAAATTAGTTTAAAATAACAATAATATTAAATGGCGAGCTATGATTTGCTGATTAGGAAGCCAACGAGATTCGGCTGTGAAGAGGCTAAAAGGGCGAAATTAGCGGTAGTTCTTCACAGTTTGCAGCCACGAACGTGATGAATTTTCATTATTTTAATTGTCGAATAAAGAATTAACTTTTTAATTATTTATTATGATTAAACAAATAAAAAACAATTTTGTCTTTTTTTTTTTTTTTAATAACTTTGTTTTATTATGAATAAAGCAAAATCTTTTACTTTAGCAAGGACATTAGAGTGATGTGCTTTTTCAAGTCAAAATTGTCTCAAAATTTTAAAACAAATGTAAAAAGTTAAATAAGTCATTTATAAGAATCAAACACGTATTTCAACTATATGATATGAAAACAAAAAAATAATATAACTCGTTGCTGTTCCATAATTAGTAACTGCTCAAATCCCCAGACAAATATTGATATGAACAAAGAGACATCAACATACAATATTGAAGAGGAATGAAGAAAATGTTATCAAAAGAGGTTGCAATTCATGCCACATTGAAGAGGAATGAAGTTTGATGGTTATAAATTTTGGGTGGGTTACAATTTAGAGTTATTGTATTTTAAGACTTTTTATTTTTACAGTTACCTAATAGCTAATTATGGCCATATGAATGTTACAACTTTTGGAATGTCTTTAATCGTTTCATTTTGAGGCTATATAAAGCTTGTATGTTGTATTTGTAAGCAGACTTGGAAAATGTATTAAAAGAAGCATTTGTGCTTTCTTTAGCCAATGGCTAAGTTTATTTGCAACTCTATGTAGTTTAGGTTGCATGTAGAATCATTTAAGCTCGACATGATCAATCTTGCTTGTGGAGTGATTCGAATCTCAATCAAGTGTTCTTGTCTTGAGATATTTGATCAACAAGAATCATTGAAGCTAGACATGATCGATCTTGCTTCTGGAGTGATTCGAATCTCAAACAATGTTCTTGCCTTGAGATATTCGATCAACAAGGTAATCCGAATCTTATTCCCCTTGTATTGATTTCTTATCTTATCAAATATTGTCATTTTTTAGGTTTCCCTTCAATGTTTTTAAAACGGATTTGTTATAGAAAAGTTTTTACATCCTTATAAAAATGTTTCGTTCTCTTCTCTAACCGACGTAAGATCTCACAATCTACCATTTTTAAGCTTCAATGTCCTCTGACACTCTTCCCCTCTCTAATCGATGTGGAATCTCACAATCCCCCTTTCATGGTCTAGAGTCCAGTGTCCTCTCTGATAAATCGTTCCCTTCTCTAATCTACGTGGATCTCACAATCCATCTCATTCGGGCCTCGCGTCCTCATATTATATTTAGCTTGGGTTGATTATTGTTCCAGTCTTTTATTAAAATTTGTTGTTTTTTTAATAATAAGATAATGTTAATATCTAAATTAATTTTAAAGTTATTTACTTGACAACTCGACAATTATTGAAAATTATTGTTGTTTTGTTTTGTTTTTTTGTTTTTTTTATTTTTATTTAAATGAAACAGCGGCTATTAAATAGTGCATATACGGTTCATTTACATTATAAATTGTGCTTAAAATCATTAATGTCACAAATATTTTAATTAAGCTGATTAAATAATCTAAAAAATTATAATTTTCTTCCACAAAATTATATATATCCCCGAATAAAGCAGGTATTATTAGAAATTAATATTATTAATATGATTAAATTAAGAGCATGGCTCTGACATCATATTAAGAATCTCAAACCATTCCAAATATATTGTACACTTTGAGCTAAGCTTGTTAAGAATCACGACTCTCCACAATGGTGTAAAATTATATATATCTTCAATAATCCTCCTCTCGAACAAAGTATACTATAAGTCTCCCCTGAGGCTTATGGAGCTCTCGAATAGCCTCCCCTTAATCGAGACTCGACTCCTTTCCCTGGAGCCCTCGAACAAAGTACACCATTTATTCGACACTTTAGTCACTTTTGACTACACCTTCGAGGCTCACAATTCTTTGTTCGATATTTGAGGATTCTATCGACATGGCTAAGTGATATGATAAGGAATCACTACAAGGGGAGTAAGATTCAGATTACCTTGTTGATCGAATATCTCAAGCTAATAACACTTTGTTTGAGATTCGAATCACTCCAGAAACAAGATCGACCATGTCTAGCTCCAATGATTCTCGTTGATCAAATATCACAAGATAAGAACACTTGATTGAGATTCGAATCACTCCACAAACAAGATTGATCATGTCGAGCTTGAATGATTCTACATACAACCTAAACTACTAGAGTTGCAAATAAACTTAGCCATTGGCTAAAAAAAAGCACAAATGCTTCTTTTAATACATTTTCCAAGTCTCCTTACAAATACAACATACATGGCTTTATATAGCTGAAACCACTCAAGACATTCCAAAAGTTGTAACATTCATACTTTAATGGCCATAATTAACCATTATGTAATTGTAACCTAAAGTAAATTAAAAGTCTTAAAATACATTAATGAAATACAATAACTCTAAATTGTAACGCACCCAAAATTTACAACAATCAAACTTCATTCTTCTTCAATGTAGCATGAATTAAAACAATTTTTGATAATTTTGACAACCTTTTCTTCCCATCTTCATTGAAGTATATTGTATGATTGATGTCTCTTGGTTCATATCACTAAGTTTAGAGCATGACTCTGATACAATGTTAGAAATCACGACTCTCCATAATGGTATGATATTGTTCATTTTGAAAACTCATGATCGTTCATAAATTAGTCAATGTGGACTCACTCCCAATAATCATCAATAAAGCTCAGCTTTTAATTTTTAATTTTTAATTTTTATTTTCATACCAATAAAAATAGTATTATTTAGGGCTCTTTTCTTAATTAGTCATGGCCAGATTCCTCGGAAAGAAAAAAATAAAAATAAAATTTGATATAAATAATTAATATTTTCGAGGGATCCTACGAGATCGCAATATGGTTACATTGAAATTATTAGGTTGAGAATTTAATGAGGGGTTGTTGGAGGGAAGAAAGCGATGAATTAGGCGAAATTTGTGTTGCATGGCTTGCTGGACGATCCAAGTAAGACTAAACTTTCAAAGCAACAAATACGGAAATTATTTGGACTAAATAAATAAAACCAAATTTGCTGCAAAAATTAAATAAAAATAATTGTGGTGGGTCCCACCTTATATCTTTTCAGCTTTTTTACCCCTATCGTCATTTCTTCTTACTTACACGCCTTCAATAAAAACAATAATAAAATATGACGTGGCACCTACCATATATTTCTTAATTAATTTTTTTTTTTATATAAACTCGAACTCAGATTAAACAAAAATATGTTTCAATTCATGTCACATTAAAGAATAATGAAGTTTCCTGATTATAAATTTTGGGAGAATTATAATTTAGAATTATGATGTTTTATTAATGCATTTTATGATTTTTTTTTATTTACGTAAGTACATTGGTTAGGGTTTCATGATTACTTTATCCCGTGCAAATTCTTTGCCTGTAACTATTCAATATCCTTACGAAAAATCAATCGCATCGGATCGTTTCCACGATCGAATCGATTTTGAATTTGATAAATGCATTGCTTGTGAAGTATGTGTTCGTGTATGTCCTATGTATCTCTCTGTTGTTGATTGGAAATTGGAAACAGATATTCGAAAGAAAAGATTGCTTAATTATATTCATTTCAGGATTGATATATTTTGTGGTAACTGCCTTATTTACATAGTGGTTAATTATAAATGTTACATGTGTCTGATGGAAAGTTAAATGGATTCATTTTGAAACTATGTAAAACCATGTATGTTAACCGTAAAAAAAAAGCATTTGTGTGTTTTTTTAGCAAATAACTAAGTTTTTTTACAATTCTATGTAGTTTACGTTGCATGTAGAATCATTCAAGCTTAATATTATCCATCTTGGTTGTGGAGTGATTCAAATCTCAAACAAGTGTTCTTGCCTTGAGATGCTTGATGAATAAGAATTATTCAAGTTAGACACGATCAATCTTGCTTATGGAGTGATTCGAATCTCAAACAAATGTTTTTGCCTTGAGATATTCAATCAACAAAGTAATCTAAATCTCGCTAAAAAACTATATTAAATAGGTAAACAATATTTTATTCGAGTAATTGTATGAAATTCGCAGTTCTTCACATTAGTACGATATTGTTCGGTTCGAGCTTAAGAGAAAAATTAATTTGCGTTTGGTTTTCGTGCAACGCCTCGTACCATTAGAGACAGTGTTGTAATGATGTTCGAGTTGATATATTATGACAGTTGGAAAAAGGGGAGTATAGATGAAACTTAAAATTTATATTAAATAAATAACCTTTAAAAATTTCATCCTAAATTGAGACATACCAACGTGTTAGGTGAGGAAAGGCGACAACAAAATAAATAAAATAATGACAATGTTAAAATCATGGGAAATAATTAATTTAATATTGTTTTTTTTTAATGACAGTAGACCGTTGTAACTCTGCAGTAGAAATAATAAAACTATATATTTCGAGCCAGACAATCTCGTCTTTCCATGCTATTGTTAAGTATCAATTAAACGACGTCGTTTTCTAATAACCCTATTTGGACCGTTGTTCATTTCTGGCGGCTGAGCAGTATCCTTGTACATATTTGTCATAATTTTCCCTTTTCCAATAAATATGAATTTAATTTTTTATTATTTTAAAAATTATTCATTACTGTTCATTTTTTGTTCCAATTTTGATTTAAAATTATATTTTTAAAAGTACTCTTTAAAAAAATAATTTAAAAATTACTTTGGGAAATAACAGAGAAAATAAATAATTAGTCGTCTAATACAAACTTTAAGGATATATATATATATATATATATATATATATATATATATATATATATATACTATTTTTTTAATAAAAATAATATATACTTTTTAAATTAAAAAATAATATACTTTTTCCAGGCTGTCAAGAGCCACCACTCACAAGTGGTTCTTGGGATTTTTAACTTTTGTTTAAAAAAAAAAAGAATAATGCTTTATCTATAGTCGTGGAAAGTATTGAAAACTAAAACCAATTATTTTATTTATTTATTTATTTTATTTTTATTTTTTTTATAAAGCTACTTTGAAATTAACCAACGTGGGTCTCACTTGAATATAAAATATTTTAAAAATTTTAAAATTAAAAAATTTATTTATTATTGTTCTTAGCATTGAAATTTTAAAATTTTATAATCACAAGAAACAATAAGGAAATTTTAAAATCTTGACCTTGACGCTCCGAGTCATGCATCGGCATTGCCATAATGCCATTATATAATATTTTAAAAAAAGACATGCAGTATTAAAATTTTATTTTTTTATTCATTAAATAAAAAAAAACATTAAATTATTTAAAATTTAAAGTAACGACAACAATAATTGTACTATTTCTCTCCTCCACAGTCCCTATCCCCTTGTCTGCGAGTCTATATTAGCCCTTACTCTCTTCTCCACTACCTCACACTACCTCCCACAAATCCCCTCTCTTATTCCGACAACATGGAACAACCCATCGCCGCCGGAATCTCAAGTTCCGGCAACCACCTCCCAAAGCCGAAGAACAATAGAAAGAAGCTCATAATCCTAGCCGTGTCTTCAACCCTCCTTCTGGTGGGCATCGTCGCCGGAGTGGTGAGCTCGAGAAACGGCGGCGGAGAGGAGGCTAAAAGCCATGCCATTGTGAAGAGCACGTGTAGCAGCACGTTGTATCCGGATCTGTGCTTTTCGAGCATTTTGAAGAGCGATGGGGCGATGAAGAGAGTTGGTAGTAAAAAGGATGTGATCGAGGTGTCGATTAATATTACGGTTAAAGCGGTGGAGGAGAATTATTTTAAGGTGTTGAAATTGTATGAGTTGAAGAATATTAGTCACAGGGAGAAGATTGCTCTTCATGATTGCCTTGAAACCATTGATGAGACGCTTGATGAGCTTCATAAGGCTACTGTTGACCTCCATGAATACCCGAATAAGAAGTCTCTTAATCAACATGCTGATGATCTCAAGACCTTGCTTAGTTCCGCTATTACTAATCAGGTATGGAATTACGACTCTCTGTAATAGTACGATATTGTCCGTTTTGAGCTAAAGTTTCGTGGGTTTACTTTCGAATTTCCCAAAAGGGACGTGGAGCCCTCAAACAGTCTCATCTTAATTGAGGTTTAACTCCTTTTTCTAAGATAAAGAGACTTGTGAAGCCCTCAAACAGTCTCTCCTTAATTGTTGACTCATTTCTTTGGAACGAAGTATACTATAGGCTTGTGGAGTCCTTATCCTCTTAATTCATACTGGCTCCTTCTTTTAGAATAAAGTACACCATTTGAGGAATCTATTTAACGGCACGACTCTGATAGCATGTTAGAATTTTAAACTCGTGACTTTATTTTTTGTTTTTTTAAAAGATTTCATACCCATAGATATGTATTATTTACTTAATTAACCAATGTGGTACTCTCTCCCTCCCAGGATGGAACGTATTCATGTTGAATAAATTACAATAAATTTAATCTTTTATTCATATTCTCTCCGACAGGAGACATGCCTCGACGGGTTTTCCCACGACGAGGCGGACAAGAACCTGCGGGACAAGCTAAAAGAGGGTCAAATAGAGGTAGAGCGCATGTGCAGCAATGCGCTAGCCATGATTAAGAACATGACCGATACAGACATAGCCAACTACGAGGCCAAAATGGGAACAACAGCCAACAGAAAGCTCAAGGAAGAGATCAACGACGAGCAAATCCAGTGGCCGGAGTGGCTGTCAGCCGGAGACCGACGTCTGCTGCAATCCTCCTCCGTGAAGCCGGACGTGGTCGTGGCGGCGGATGGCAGCGGGAACTTCAAGACAGTGGCGGCCGCCGTCGCCGCCGCCCCGGTAAAAAGTAGCAAGAGATTTGTGATAAGAATTAAAGCTGGGGTTTATAGAGAGAATGTAGATGTGCCAAAGAAGAAGACGAATATAATGTTCATGGGAGATGGAAGAAGTAACACTATAATTACCGGTAGCCGGAATGTCGTCGACGGCAGCACCACTTTTAACTCTGCCACCGTCGGTAAGCTCAATTTTTACTCGTTTTTTCAGTAATTTTTTTTTTTACCTATTTTTTAAATTTGTCAAACTAGTCTTAATTACAAATTAATCGATCTAAAATTGTAATTATTTTTTTAATTAATTGCCCAAAAAAGTACAATTTTGACCCTCTCCACTCGATAAGCTTTTCAAAGCTTATCATTCCCCGTTGAAAGATACCTTCCATCCAATGCATGGTGGAGCGCACATGGGCAAAAGTGTCCGATATGCATAAAAATATCAAAATAAAAAAATATATTTTGTTTTATTATTATTTTTTTTATCCAGCACCGAATCAGAATCTATATTTATTTTTTAATCCAAATATAATTTTGGTGATTTTATTAGATATTATATTAAAATAATATATTTCATTTTATAAAAAGAAAAATAATATTCTCCTTTGATCTGGACTGATGTCCGACACGTGGACCATGATTTTGACAGCTGCGGTGGGAGAAGGATTTCTAGCGCGTGACATCACATTCCAAAACACAGCCGGTCCCTCAAAGCACCAAGCGGTGGCTCTCCGCGTCGGAGCAGATCTCTCCGCCTTCTACCAATGCGACATGTTGGCTTATCAAGACACTCTCTACGTCCATTCCAACCGTCAGTTCTACATCAACTGTCTCATTTCCGGCACCGTCGATTTCATCTTCGGCAACGCCGCTGCCGTTTTCCAAGACTGTGACATTCACGCGCGTAGACCAAACTCGGGTCAGAAAAACATGGTCACGGCTCAGGGTCGGTCCGACCCAAACCAGAACACCGGAATCGTTATCCAGAAATCCCGAATCGGAGCCACCTCCGATCTCCGGTCGGTCCAGAAGAGCTTCCCGACGTTCCTCGGAAGACCGTGGAAGGAATATTCTAGAACCGTGATCATGCAGTCGTCGATAAGTGACGTCATTGACTCGAAGGGATGGCATGAATGGAGCGGTAATTTTGCTCTCAACACGTTGTTTTACGGTGAGTATCAGAATACTGGACCGGGTGCTTCGACGAGCGGGAGGGTGACGTGGAAGGGGTTCAGGGTAATTCGGAGTGCCACGGAGGCTGAAGGTTTCACTCCTGGTAAATTTATTGGCGGTGGGAGTTGGTTGCGGGCGACTGGGTTTCCTTTCTCTTTGGGACTATGATGATAAGCTGTAATTTTATTTTTTACCGTATTTACTGTGGTAATTATTTTTCTATTTTCTCTTTTTGATATGTTATGTCCAATTGTGAGCGTGTAAGTTTATTAAAATAAATACAAATTTTCTATTTTCTTTTTTTTGTCTCCTGCGACTTTTTTACTAACAAAAAGATAAATTGACAGATCTTTTAAAATATACCTTTTTCACTTTTAATTATTGAATAAAAAATTCTCTTCTTTCCTATTTCCTCTTTTACCCTCCTCTCTCTCTCTCATCCTTCATCTGCCTGCCGGCAATTTTGCCTTTCAAAATTCAATGACTTTTAATTTTAAGTTTGTGGATATTGAATTTTATGTTTTATAGCTCTGAATTTTACATATTATAAATAATATTATCTATTTTAAATATAAATTTTATACTAAATTAATAATTTGAAAGATAATAATTTTTATACACAACAAAATTAAAATAAGTCTGAAAGTTAATATGTGGATAAATAATCTAATTAATTCCTTATAAATATCTGCATGTTAATCTTAATTTTTAATTTTGAAAGTTTATTAATATTTTTTTAAAGGTAGTATAATGGTAATATTATTTTTTAAATTTTTTTAAAAAAAATGTTTTTGAAGGTTTAATAAAACTTTCTTATTTTTAAAATAATTTTAAAAGTTAAAAAGTTATTATGAAAACTATTTTAAAAGTTTAAAACTAATCATCTTGTTAGGTGTATATTTTTAATATTCTTAAAAGTTGTTTTTTTTTTTTTAAAAAGTTAAAATATTATTATAAATTTTATATATATATTTAAAAAATAAAGAGTAAAGTTTCATAATATTTTATTAATTTAATCTAAAATTTAGGGACAGTAACAGCCATGGTGGCAAAAAGGACGGAGCAGGGTGCTGGGTAAAAGTTGGCCAGCTGGCCCACTTTTTTTTTTAAAACGTGGGACCAATTCAGTTCTCTTATCCGGCCTAACAGCACCGACATGATGCCGATGCATTTAATAGTCGCACAAAGAGTCATATATTTCCTTTAATTACACGTTTTTTTTCACATTATTCTTTTCCATTAGTCATCTTGTTAGCTAATTAATAATATCACTGTAGCAATTATTTTTATTCTCATCATACATACTTATATATTTTTATACTAATGTTTATTATTACTCTCACCTCGAACCCATTTTAATAAATAAATTTATTTATTTTATTTTTTGTATTTAAATATTATTACGGGTCTATATATATATTTATATTTATAATAAATTAATCTATTTTATTACATATAATAGATATTTATTTGATTGGTTAGGTCTATTATAATAACATATAATTTCGGTGGACTCTTATTGGGCCCAGTGGGCCAACATAATCTATCGGTGTCCTGAATTTACGTTGGGCTCCACCGGGCCCATGATTTTGGATCGAGTTTGATATTATTATTTGAAGGACATAGTCGAATTTTCGCGAACGTAATTTTGGAGTAAATTTTTGAATATTGGTAGATCCGAAACATACGAATCGAATACGAATCGAATATAATTAATTTGTCAGCAAACAAATCGAGAGTGGTGGGGAAAGGAAAGGCGGGTGCAAACTTGAGTGACCAATATGTTTGTAAAACATTTAATTTTGTGTTCGTTAAATTCTTAAATTTTATATAATTTTTAATTTTATATAAATTAGATTATTGAAATGACGATTTGAAATCTATATTCGACACTTAATGTTGTTCAATGGCATGTCAGGTAACAGTACCACAATACTTATATATTTAAAAGCTCGTAAACCACTATTCCCAACACAAACTTAGATCGTTTGTTTCCACTCGTATATTCCTATAATCACTCAGACTAGTCTTGATTTATTCATGACCCTTTATTTTAAAAAAATTAACGAGATAAAAAAAATATATAAAAATAAAAAATTTATGAATAAAAAAAATAAAAAAAAGAGTAAAAAGATGATATAAAGGAATTTGGAAATTATAATTTTTTTTAAAAATAAATTAAAACTCTTTGACATCGAATACATATATATTATATTTTTATTATTTTTCTACAAGGATTCAAAAGAACTGTCATTTTCGCAATTATTTAATTAAATTATAATATAATTTTTATTATTAAATAGAAAAAAAAAAAAAATATATATATATATATATATATATATATTGTAAATGACTAATTTGATAGAATGGATTAAAAATAATAATAAAGAGATAATATATACAGATAGATATTTATTTATTTATAAAATTATTATTTTATTCTCTGGCCACTCAAATTTTGACACTTATAATAATTTGTCACATCAAATAATTTCGCATGGAATTTTGCTGCCATGTGCTTGATGTCCACGTCATGGACCTTTCACAACATAGACAACATCAAAATGTCAATTTTCCATTTCATTTCATTTTGTCTCCTTAATTTCAATTAATAAAAAATATGTATTAAAACTTTTTAAATATTTCAAAAAAATATATTTACAATTAATTTTTAAAATTTAAAAGTAATATTAACGCGTTTAAATTTTAAAGAAGAAAGTTTGAAGATGATTTATGAAATGGAGATAAATGTTTCCATCCATATATTAATGTTTGAACTTTTTTTCGAAGTTAATGTTATTTTTAATATTTTACTAGTATTTATTACCTACGATTAACAATTATATATTTTTTATTTTTTATAAATAAAATTTAAGGTATTAATAGAACTTTTTAAAAATATTTTTGAAAGTTTAAATATTTTTAAAATAAAATATTAATGATCATTTTTTAAAAAATTAAAAAAATTGTGAATATTATTCAAACTTTTTAAAAGATTTTGAAAAAATATATATATATAATTTATATTTTGCTCTTAATTTTGAGTTTCTTTTAATATTATAATTTGTGGAGTCCAACAAATATTTGTACACGTGTCATTGACATAAGGGCCGAGTAGACGAAATACAAACGATTATAATATTAAATTTTAATTTTGAGTTATTTAAATAAGCGAAGTCTTAGTTGACTTTTGAAAATTTTAAAATATTTTATATTTGTTATTGTATAAATATAACAAAAGTTTCGATATACTTTTTTAATATATATGTCATTTATTGTTTTTTATATTATTTCATATTGTTTTGTCAGGTTTTCATCTCTTAAATAATTATATATTTAAATTATTAGTTCAAATTTCAAAAAAAAAAAAAACAAATTAACAAGCTTATTAAAACTATATACTTAAAAATATTTTAAAAATAGATAACTTAAAAAACACATCGTGGAAATAATGTTTGTATTCAAAATGATTATAAAAAATAATAATAATAAAAAAAAGTCATAATTTACCTCTTTAAAAAATAAATACATCAATTGGGTTGGTGGCCACGACAACTTAAATAGAGTTCGATTTTTTAAAAATTATTAATAAAATCATAATTATCTACGTTATATATTGCATTAATAACTACAATTTTTTGAGCTACAAATATGAATGGTAAACGTAAAATATTCTTAATTTTCATAATGATCTTAAAATAAGGTATAGTTTATGTTACATTAATAACTAAAAGTTCTCGAACCATTCACAAGTCACGATGCACTATAAATATTGGTTACAAACATCAAGTATTCTTAGTTTTTACAATAATCTTAAAAATAGGATTTGACTGATCGAGTTGACCTGACAAAAAAATGTCAATGGAACCCAAACCAAATTTTTAAAACTCAATTCATAGGTTGGATTAAGTAGTTCAAGTTGGTCAAAGTTCTCGAATCATGTGAACGTGTTGGTGACAACAAAGAAATTTGGTAGAATTTTGTGTAGGAAGAAAACTTTGTAACGAATGCTTAATTAATTTTCTACTACTTCCACCAATGTCAGATAAGGGTAAATTGGGACATTTTTCGTTACCATTCATTATTCAAACGTCATGCACGTATTTAATCATGTATGTATTCATACATGTAGTTATACATATTTCTATATATGTATCTACAAGTGACTTTTTAACACATGTATCTGTTGTAGTGATCCTGTTGAAATTTTAAATAAATTAAAAAAAAAAAATGATCACGTCCAGACAAACATTGGACTAGGATAAGGATAAATAAGATAAGTTACCTTATACTAATCTTTTCTTTCCATTTTTAGCTCGTTTTTGTAGGCAAATTAAAATTTTATCGGTTTAAATTTTTAATAATGATTTTTCTTTTTCAATAAACAATAATAATTAAACCAGAATAAAAAACAGTTACCAAATACAAATTTGTATTCACTTGTAAAATAAAACAATTTATTTTTTATAAAAAAATCAATTTGTTTAAAAAAAAAAAAAAAAAAAAACCGTTCGCGCCTTAATTGAGATTCATTCAGTGCGAAGGTCTGCCATGGAAGAAACTGAAATGAGCTTCAACGGCGGAATGGACGACGGAACGACGAGAAGGAGCTGCGTTGTTGCTTCTCTGTCTGAAAATTAGATGCAAACTGCAAATCAATGACTCAATCCATGAGCGGCGACGAGATGACTTCGTCAGCTTCGACAGTGACAAAAGCATACGCGTGTAGTCATGGAGGAGCCTTCCTTTTTTGCGCCCCAATAAATCACGACGCCGAAGTTCGAGGCATTCAACTTTCGATCACTTTTGCACCTGCTCCTACTTATTTGTACTTCTTTCCTTCTTATCCGCTTCTTCATCCATTTCGATGGCCTCTACTTCCAACGATTCCCTTCCGATTTCCATCCACAACATCAATCCCAAGGTTCGGTCTATTCTTTTTCCAGTTTGATGATTTTGTGCAATGTTGGATTGAGTTTTCTTTTACAGCTAAATCGTGATCCTGTTCTCTGATATCGTTGTTTTGTCGATCATCAATCCACCGTTCCCTAATTTCTGTTTAATTTTACATAGGTTTTGGAATGCGAGTATGCTGTTCGTGGTGAGATTGTCGCCCTGGCTCAGGTACCTTTACTGATTTTGATCTTTGCATGCTCACGACTCTCCAGAATAGTATGATCAATCCCTAAATTAATCGATGTGGAACTTTGGTCTTCCAACACCTCCCCTCGAACAAAGTGCGCTTCCTTTAATTGAGGCTCAACTCCTTTGGAGTCTTAGTCATTTTTTACTATGTTTTCGAGGAGGGTTGACTCCAAAATTGGAGTCTTTTGTTCGATATTTGAGGATTTACCAATCTATTGACACGACTAAATTTAAGGCATGGATCTGATAGCATGTTAGACGAACACGACTCTCCACAATGGTATAATATTGTCCATTTGAACCCAAGCTCTCAAATTAACTAACTGAGGTGGGAGTTTGGTCATCCAACAAAAATTAGTAATGAACAATCCGCAAGGTTCAGCAGGAAATCTAAGCAAATCATGGCATTGAGTTGAAGGATTTGAGTATTACTTTGTTACCAATAAAGTTGAGATCTGAGAGCTGGTTTGGGCTTGTTTAATTAGCTCCAAAATTGATATAAATTGCTTGATTTGTGATAGTGCCATCCTTCTGCTTACCATCTTTTATCCTCTTAACTAACAGAGACTGGAAAAAGAGCTTCTGGCTAATCCAGGCTCACATGCTTTTGATGAGGTTTGATTACTTTTCTCATCTTATTTCTTGTTAGCATCTGGCACCGTTTATAATTTCGACCATTCTATCAATTCAACTCAATCACTACGATCACTACCGTTTAGAGTTTAGTTGAATTCAAATAAATTAAAAAAAAAAAAGTTTCATGAACTCCCCTGTTCAGGCTCCTCATTTAAGGCCATCATGGGAATGTAAACCTTTGGCTTATGCAAATTACATGCAGCCAAAAACAGTGTCCTTTTTGAATGGTAGCGTAAGGTTTGTCTCATGCTACATGCTTAATAACACAATCTTGCTGGTGCTGATAGGTTTTTGTATGACCCAGTAACCATTACTCTATCACTTTATGATGCAGATACTGTACTGCAACATAGGAAATCCTCATTCCCTTGGTCAGCAACCAATTACATTTTTCCGTGAGGTTTGTCAGTGTACTGTATGTTGGCACTCTCCATTATACCTTGAGAAATTGAAATCCTGATTATCTTTGTTTATACAGGTTCTTGCACTGTGTGAACATCCATCTCTTCTGGAAAGAAACGAAATAAACGGTTTGTTCAGGTACTTCAATTTAGTTAACTCATTCATGATGGAGACTGTTTAATCATGAAAAGAATTTATGTTTGAATACCCTGTTGCTTTCAAGAAAAGACTATACCAGCTTCAGGAAAGCTACTCAGAGTACAAAATATAATATCCGCTTTAGATCGATTATGGTTTTGCTCAGATTATATATATCTTCGTTTGCTCTTTGCCCTCCTCAAATTCTTAGCAATAATGTTTGTGCTGTTTCCTGCTTGATTTTCCTTAATAAACTTGTTGCAGTGAAGATGCCATTAAGCGAGCTTCGCAAATTCTGAAACAAATTCCTGGAAAAGCAACCGGTGCTTACAGCCATAGTCAGGTTGTTATCAGAAAAAAAAAAAAGGAGTTCTAGGCTTCATAAAATTCAGCTCATCTAACATTTGATCTATTCGTCACACCAGGGAATCAAGGAGCTGCGAGATGCCATTGCTGAAGGAATTAAAGCTCGTGATGATTTTCCTGCAGATCCTAATGACATATTTCTAACAAATGGTGCAAGCCCAGCAGTGAGTTTTTTTTTTAATATATGTGACAACGAATCTTTATATTTAGAAATGTTGACAGAAGATATTAACCTCAGAGTAATAGCATGTCAAAGAGGCTCTTTTATCTGTTTGTTATCAGGTCCATATGGTGATGCAATTGCTGATAAGTACAGAGAAAGATGGAATACTCTGCCCCATTCCTCAGTACCCTCTATACTCTGCTTCTATAGCTCTTCATGGCGGTACTCTTGTACGTTTTGTATTATTTCAGAAAATTCTTATAGTTTGATTTGATTTCTTTGAGTTAACGTGTAATGATTTCAAGAAGTTGAAACTTAATGGTGGTTTGCAGGTTCCTTACTATCTTGATGAAGCATCGGGATGGGGATTGGAAATTTCTGAGCTGAAGAAGCAATTGGAGTCTGCCAAGTCTAAGGGTATTTCAGTAAGGGCATTGGTGGTTATAAATCCCGGCAATCCTACTGGACAAGTATGTTATTGGATGGGTTTTGAATGTAAATCTTGGGATGAACTTATATTCTGGTTCCTACTTTAACATATGACTTTAGGTTCTCACTAAGGAAAACCAAGAACAAATAGTGAAGTTCTGCAAGCAAGAGGGCCTCATTCTTCTGGCAGATGAGGTACATCTAGAACATTAATGGAAGCCTGCAAACATAACTTTATTGGATATATTAATTAGATTTGAGTTCCTTGGATCAATACCAATATTGTTTAAGATCTGATGAACGGTGCAGGTATATCAAGCAAATATTTATGTTCCAGACAAGAAGTTCCACTCTTTTAAGAAGATTTCACGCAGCATGGGTTATGGTGAAAAGGATATCTCCTTAGTATCATTCCAGTCTGTCTCTAAAGGTTTGTTGTCTTAGTCCATATCTATTTTAGGCGTGGCAATGAGAATTGTGCACAGATTACTGGTCTGATTTCATGCCTTACTTTTTTTTTTTTTTTCCTGGTATTAGGATACTATGGTGAGTGTGGAAAACGAGGAGGTTACATGGGGATTACTGGGTTTAGTGCTGATGTGAGGGAGCAAATATACAAAGTGGCATCTGTTAATCTTTGTTCAAATATTTCTGGCCAGATTCTTGCTAGCCTTGTGATGAATCCACCAAAGGTTAGAATCTTCTGATTTCTATGCATAACTAAATTCATCCCGATTCGGCTCTTTATAAGGCAAAAATGTCTGCTAGAAAGAGTTAAAGTTTAGTGCTTAACTTATTATCAATTCATTTTTCCTCGTTTGTTGAAGACTATTGATGATTTGTGCAGGTTGGGGATCACATCTATGAATCGTATTGTGCAGAGAGAGATGGAATCCTCTCCTCCCTGGCGAGGCGTGCAAAGGTTTGTGGAATGAGAATACTCTCTTTTTTATTTCTTTTGAATCAATCATAATGTGTTGGAGCCATTGTTATAAATAGTAAAACTATATATAGAAAATTATGGTAGATATATATATTGTAGGGAATTATACATTAAACTAAAACCATATATATACCTCCCTTTTAGTTAGTGCTTCGAAGATGTAGTTTCTGCCGTCTATATTCTCTTAATACATATTTAAAAGTTTTCCCTTTTAGTTAGTGCTTCGAAGATGTAGTTTCTGCCGTCTATATTCTCTTAATACATATTTAAAAGTCATCTATATAAACTTTTAGCTAATATTTCTCTTTTTTTCTCGTCACCTGTTATTTCTCCTTTTTTCTTTCACCTGTTATTTGTGTTCCGTATTTAGTTGGTGGACTCTTATTTTTGTGTTTCTTTTTATATGCTCTTGCATATTCTTTCCTTCTTCTCAATGAAAGCTCGGTTTCTCATCATAAAATAATTGACTGTACTGCAGACATTAGAAGCTGCATTCAACAGTTTAGAAAATGTAACATGCAATAAAGCAGAAGGGGCAATGTACCTATTCCCTTGCATTAAGCTGCCTGAAAAGGCAATCAAAGCAGCAGAAGCAGCAGATACGACCCCTGATACATTTTATTGCCGCCAACTTCTCAACGCCACTGGAGTGGTTGTCGTCCCCGGTTCTGGCTTTGGGCAGGTCTGTCTCATTGGCTTAAGCTTTCAATCTATTCCAAATCATCATCTGCAGTATTTGACTTTTCCACCGTTTATATCACACAAAACATTTTTTTTAGTTTTCAAAATTTAGCTTAGATTTTGAAAATACAGTTAGGAATCACGACTCTCCAGATATGATATTATCCACTTTGAGCGTAAGTTCTCATTGGCTTTGTTTTGGGCTTCCCCAAAATTAATGGAGGTGTATTCCTTACTTATAAATACATGATCATTCCCTAAATTAGTCAATGTGAGACTCCCTCCAAACAATCTTAAACAATCTTCCCCTCGAACAAAGTATACCATAGAGTCTCTCCTGAAGTCTATGTAGCTCTCGAGTAGCTCCTCTTTAATCGAGGCTCGACTCCTTTCTCTGGAGCCCTCGAACAAAGTACACCCTCTGTTCGACACATGAGTCACTTCTGACTACACCTTCGAGGCTAGCCATTTCTTTGTTTGACACTTGAGGATTCTATTGACATGGTTAACTTGAGCATGACTCTGATACCATGTTAGGAATCACGATTCTCTACAATAGTATGATATTGTCGACTATGAGCATAAGCTCTCAGGACTTTATTTTGAGCTTCTTCAAAAGGCCTCGTGTATTCCTTGCTTATAAACTCATGATCATTTCCTAAATTAGCCAGGTGTGACTCCCTTCCTACCATCCTCATCAAAAGCTCATAAAAATTAAACATGAGGAGAAAGTGGAGCATACCAGCTTAATTTTCAAAAACCAAAAACTAATAAATGTAATCAAACCGGAACTAACCGATCCATTCTGCATCAGGTGGCCGGAACATGGCACTTCAGGTGTACAATACTTCCTCCAGAGAACAAGATCCCAGACGTCGTATCTCGCCTGACTGACTTCCATAAAGCATTCATGAACGAATATCGCGACTGAATTCCCAGAAGGGACTCCTCCTGTGTATCAAGGTGCACAACCAGTTTCCCTTACTTAATGGCAACTGTGTGTTATTGGATTTTTTCATGTTAATAAAGAATGTGGGGTTGTGTACCTAAACAATTTACCATGGTACAGAGTCTCTCTGTGCCCCCAAATATTCATTGTCCTGCAGAAAATAAAAACAACAAAGAACACAGAAGATAATCTGGAATTTCTGAGTTGTGATGACACCCGGAATGCACAGGCTTATTTTTATGTTTATTATTTCCCCTCTGTTATGTTCCCACAACAACGCACACACTCGATCAGATCACACTCAAATTTAGATGAATACAAAAAACAATAGTACTGAACACAACTTAGGGAAAACACTTCACACTCTTTATTAACACCAGAGAAGAGAATCCAACACTTTGTATAATACGACTACTTTGTATTTTTTTGGATGAAAATCTAAATAGGGTGTAAGATATTTATGACAGAGGGTAGACAATTTATTTCTAAAATATTTAGATATCTATATTTCTAAAATACTTAAATCATTTTTAATATTTAGGTATCTTTGTTCCTAACCTACCTAAATAGTTTCCCTAAAATAAATATACAATGAACTCATATAAATATTGGACTTGACCCTATTGGGCGAGTGATGATATTTTAACATAATATTGGTTAATCATTTTCTTAAAATAAATATACCATGAGCTCATATAATTATATAATTATTGAGCTTGACCCTTGGTTAGGAGTTTATAGTGATCCTTTCAAGCGCGTATAAGAAGTATACAAAGAATACCTAAATTACTATATAAAACTTTAATGAATATAGTCATAACTATTTATGATATATAGGAATATAGCTTTTTACTATGTAGCTACGTGGATATAGCTTTTTACTATACATAACTACAGTATATTCCATAACCTACCCCTACTCTACTCTCCATAACCTACCCCTATTCTATTCAGGGCGGGAAGGAAACTTTAGAAACAGAACATGGAATTCAAGGAAATAGCTCAATAAGAAATAGATAGGAAGGCTGCCAGAATTTGGATGAAAGTCCCACATCTGCTAATTTAGAGAATTATCATGAGTTTATAATCAAATAATACTATTTTCATTAGTACGAAGTCTTTTAGAGAAGCTTAAACCAAGGTCATGAGAGCTTAGGCTCAAAGAAGACGATATCATACCATTGTGGAAGATAATATTCAATTAATCATATGGGCTCCTTAATACGAAAAATGTGTCATTTTCTTTGATCATGCGCATCATCATGAGTCTCATCAGTTTTTTTTAATATTATTTATGAGATTGGATTTAAATCATCTAGAAGAAGTCAAATCTCAGTTGAAATGATCATTGGAATTGGGCAGTAAGGATAAGATTAAAAAGACAGCTGAATGGTGCAGATCTGACAGCTTAATATTAAAGTGTTCCTAAGTTCATACCAAGATAAATAATAATAATAATAACTATTTAAATTAATAAGAAAATAGTTTCACTTCATAAATCTTGTTATTACTATTACAACTTAGTTTAGATCCGTAATTAGTTGATTATATCTTGTTTTTCAATGAAATTGATGTATTTCCCCATTTTTAAATAGTCGAAATTGATACGAAATTCTTCCATCGTAGACTAGTTTGTCCTAAACATTATGACCTAATTTCCTAATTTCTCGATGCATCTCTCCTTTTGTGCACTAAATTCGTACAATTTTGTCAAAACATTTATAAGTCGTAAGTGCTAGGGATCATGGATCTTTACAATAGTATGATATTGTCCACTTTGAGCATAAGCTCTCATGACTTTGCTTTGAATTCTCGAAAGGCCTCGTACCAATATAATATTTAAATGTAAGGGGCAACTGGAAAAATAAAAAATGAAAATGAAAACAAATTTACACTCAGGGTTTCCACCTAACTTTGAAAAGACACACCAGCCACTTACCAGAATGAGAGAAAGAGAGAGAAGTGTATAAAGAAATAGAGGTATCATGGGTTGAAGATAAGCCACATCAGCTCTCACATTACTATATTAGATGTACATTTTATAATAATGCACTATGATCAAATAATTGGAATATTTTTTTTATCTCTATACTTTATACACAAAAATATGGAAATAACACTATATATTTGTATTTAAAAAGCACTAAATATGTGAAGCTTAAAGGGGAAATAGCAGAAAACAAATGGGAAACAGCTGCAATTTCTTGTTCACTGTCTCAGACTGATGGCACTAACTTGTTGTTGTTGTTGTTCTTCTTCTTTCAATGTTTCTCTTCTCAAATCTGGTCTTTCAGTTTCAGCTAAGCCTATTAGCAGAATTTGGATGCTCAAACCTACGAAGTTTCCACTCAAGAAGTCACTCCCATTGCAGATCAGATCTTCCATTAAGAACAAGGTCAACATCTTCTTCCTTTGTGTCTCTTTGTGATTCTTCTTCATCTTCTTCTGTCTGCGCAATTTCCTTTAAAACGAACGACTTTATAGAAGTAAATAACGGTTCTGATGGAACCTTATTCTCTGGTTGATACACGATCCAAGTCATTGCTTTTTAATAGGGTGACTTTGCTTCTATGAGCCATTCGATAATAACGGTTGGTGAGTACCTGAATATCAAGTTTGATGAAAAACTAACAGGTTTTCGAGGATCAATCGGAGGGAGTGATTTGCTACACAGACGAGAATGGGGAGATCGTCTGCGAAGGATATGATGAGGGCCCTCGCTTTCACCCAAACCTACCTGAAAAAGGCAACCATCAAAGGTAAATGAATCAGTATTCTGAACTAACCCATTGTTCTAAAAAGAGATTTTATGGGAGCTGTTGGATTGATGGTATATGTTTTTGCTGTCTTTTGGCCACATCTAGAGAGACAGAGATTATTGATCTGCTACTAAAACAAAGTTGGATTCATCTAGGAAAAGGTGGAGGAGAGCTAAGCCAGGCTGACAAAGGTGTAGCTGTTCAAAACGACTCGAATGCTAATGGTTTCAACTCCTTCTGCTAATCTAATTAAGGTCCTACTCTTTTGGATCATATGGATCATACTCAAATATAATATCGAATGTATGTACTTGGCATGTCGAATGTAAACAGACAATATATTGTTTTAATTCAAGTAGTTTCGAGTAGATGTACTTTCTTCTGTATCTGAATCGCCCCGAATTTGCATAGTTCGTCTTGCATTCATGAGGATGAGCACAATTCTGCAAGGAAAATAGGTAAAGTCCGAGTCAAATTCTTAAAAACTTATGGCTGAAGATGTGTGGTTGGTATTCTCTGTTCTAGCTTAGCAGCAGAGAGAAAAGAATCCAGACATTGAGATGTATGATTAAAGTACAACATTTGGAGGTAATATGTTCTGTGGAAGCATATGACTAATATGGAGAACAGAAGCTTTACACTGTAAATCTAACTATAACACTACCTATTTTATACAATGATCCTAATCAAGAGGTGAACTAATATTATACCTCCTTCCTTAGTGGCTTTAGCGGCCTTCTTTCACACCTCACGAATTATCATCACCTCCTCTTGCTCTTCAACAATGCGATTTAGACCAAAAGGAAAAGGGGGGGAAAAGAATCTACCTAAAAGAATCAATTTACTCGAGATAACGAACAAAAAGTGAGAGGTTGTACTCTGAGATTCACTCACGTCTATCTACAACGTAACGGACACGGCATCAGATTTTCCATCCTGCATGTTCTCGTCACCTAAGTCAGATTGAGACTGGCTTGGAACGATAGATTGTGGAAACCATTGGTCTGGGACCATCAGGAAGTAGGTTGTCATTGCTTTTCTGAACCTCTTCTTGTATTCCTTGGGGGAGATCACTGTTGGGGATGAGTTCTTTGCCCCGCCGAGAATGCCTGTAGCCTTCACCCAAGTCTCGAGGTGCTTGTCCCACGTATACTGTCTCATGAAATCAATGATCCCGATAACTAGTTCGTGTTTCTCCTCATCCACCCCAACCAGCAATGAGTAGTCCATTACGCCGATTGACTGCATCACCACAGTTTAAGTGATGTGTGAGAATGCGTAGGAAGATCGTTTACAGAACATCAAGAAAATACACATGCTGATAAACTTACGGCAAGAAATGATGTATCATTCCAGACAGCTCTCTCCAACAATCGTTTTGCTTTGTTTCCAACGAAAATTGGAGAAGTTCGCATTGCTTCAATCAAGTTTTGGTCCAACAGAACTTTGTTATTCCCAGTTGAATCAGCATTATAGCGTGATCTTGAGGATCCTTTGAGATCATAAAGTCGCGTAACATTTCTTCTAAACAGAAGATTCTCCATAACCAGAACATCCATCTTTGTTTCTTTACCTCCTTTAAGATGTTTTGCCGTAACCTTCCACCATGAAAACAATAACAAACAGTAAATTTCAGAGAAGATAACCTCTCAATTATCAAGCCACAATATTATAACCACTGTAGGCTAATTGAAATGACTTCAAACATCCGAAAAAAGTTCTTATGTCTTCGTTCCTACTTATACCAGCGATAAAGATCTTTATTCTTAAAGATAATTAGTACGTGTAGTCCAGTAAGGAACAAATTTTGCATTCCAAAAGCAGGAAATTTTTGTCTTTTGCGTGTGTGTGTGTGTGTGTGTGTGGGGGGGGGGGGGNGGGGGGGGGGGGGTTAACCATCAAAATATGAATATGCCGTTTATAATAGACTACTATTAATCTATCTCGAAGCGTCCTCTTTTCTCGAGCAATGGAAAATTCTCTAAACATTGTTAAATTTCATAACCTGACGATGTATTGAAGCTAAAGGATTAGAAGTACCTGGTAGATTCCAAGAATCTTTGCTAGGCATGTAGGACTTCTCGTACCAATTGATTCAGACAAATACTTGAAATATTCAGGTGCAAATTTAATAAATGACTCCAGCTCTGTCTTGGTGACTTGCTTAATTATAAACCGATCGTCCAGAGTTTTGGCAAAGAAAACATTACTCTTACCACCTTGGGCTCCCCACTTCTTACAACGACTAAGAGACTTGACAAAATCAAGTTCTGAACAACAAATCCTCCTCAAAGCTTCAAATCGTCTTGCATAGTAACAGGTAACAGAATATTTTACTCCACCGTGCGGGCCATATTCTTCGAAAACAATTCTGGGATTAAGGGACTTTGGGTATAAGAGTGGATCCAAACTAATAGAGGTACGAGGTCCAGAGATGGATGAAACACTGTCATCTAAAGGTCCCACACTTTTGGAAGTATC